AGGGAAACACTCTCATGGAAACCATAGCGGAATGCACAGAGGAGACAGTGACCCTCTGTTGTAACTGACACTTTTTGCTTTATACGTGATAGAATGAACAAAATTTTCATTCTTTATATTTCTTTATAAGGAATATACAGTGAAGACTCGAGGTGCCATTTTACTCTCTTTGCTGCCTCTATTAGCAAGTTTTACCATTGTTCTAGTGGATGTAAAGCAAACACCTGTGTAGTAGACATTGTGTCCAAGTCTGTAACTGTTTGCCATCTTAGTAGATCACCACAGCAATTGTGTTTTTATCAATTCATTATTGTCTGAGCTACCTCAGGAGTTGAAATTGCTAAACCCTGGATTTCCCTGAGGGAACTAAATGATTCGGGGGTTTGGTAACGGGATATAGGTTATTGGTTCAAGTCCTGATCAGGTTGGTAGTGTTTGAAAGCTATTGAAGTCTGGTGCCATGAGCGAGTATGAAGTGAGGTGGTGATCTCTCTCTGTTTTCTTGTGGACTGGCATTTGTGTTTGCCAGACCTCTCTCATCCACCAGCTTCCTTGCTCTGTTTTTCAGGTCTGAGAGGGAGTAACTTGCATTTTAGCCCTCTTTCACTGTGGATTCCTTCTTCTGTTCCTTCCTCATCTTAACTCTGCAAAACATGAATTATTATCCAAATAAGTAAGAAGAACTTTTTTTCTTTTAGAAGTTTTCTCCGTGGTGTGGACTGCATGTCTCCCTCTATATCAGCACAGCACCTGGCATACTGTGACCATTTTAGCAGCAAAGAACAGGAAGAACTGCAGTGAAGAGCAATCACTTTTCTTTCTGCTTAGAGGGCAAGAAGACTAGTCTACTCTCGAGTGTCCTTTGAGTAGTCATCAAAGCCTGAGCAACAAGTACAAGCTTCTGCCCCAATAATATCTTTAGATTGGAGTAATAAGGGAAGACAATGTTTATACGTTACTTTATCCTAAACTTCACACTACGTGCCCTCTACTTACTGAGACAGGAGTGAGGAAGGAAAAAAAAAATCCAGCTAAAATTCCTTGTTTTGTCTCTCGGGACAAGCTCTCTTTTTCTGGTGTAAAATAGTGTCTTCAGTACTTTAGATATGTTACCTTCCTCCAGCACAAACTTTCACATGTATCTAAAATGAATGTTAATTACAAAGTTTTACATGCCACAGCCTATGTAAAATATTATTCCTTCCAGAGCTGGTTGTGTGCTCAGTAGGGTTAAAATCATCAGCACAAAGCCTGTCTTAGATCATAGTTCTTTGAGTACCAAACAGGGGCTTGATCCTTCATACAGCTTTCTGCAGAGGTGGCTTTTTCACACGTGCCTGTTTTGCTGTGACCTTTTAGGCTTTTGAACAGTCTGTCCACTTCTTTCCAAGTTGCCTGAGAGAATAGTCTGCCTGTGTTCTCCAGGAGGAATAACTGTTTTGTTAGTAACCACAACCAACTTACTCAGATGCTACATTTAGCTCATACACTGAAAGTGTGAGATTGTTGTCATAGGCTGCTTATCAGAAACGGTTCAGTGGCCTCTTGGATTCTCTCCAGAAAAAGAGAGAATGGTCTCCAAGAAAACAAAATTGTAAACAAAGTTCCTGAGACCTTAGAGTGACAACGCTGTATATTTTTATTTAGGCTGGCTACCTATAGAATTCTCTTGTAAAGGACACATCCATGACTTTTCCACAGAAAGAGATAATGCAAAAGGATTTGGGGTACAGGATGTAAGAGCACACAGCAAAGGTCTAATGGGCCTTAAAGTAGATAGATCTGTGAAAGAATAGTGGAAATAATAATAAATGTAATACATTTTAGATACCATTTCATTTTATGAACGGTTTTAATACCAGATGTGGAGTTTTCCTTTAACCACTTTATTATTTTTTAGCACAGTTGTAGGTATCAGCCCTGTTCTCAAGGCTGTGAATATTTCAAATTCAAATGAGATGTTGTTTTTTCCAAATAGCATCTCAGATAGGAATTCTGTGGATCAGAAATGAGATGGCTCAATAGTTTATTATTTACTTGTCAGAGACAGAATGATTGTGATATCTAGATGCTGAAATAATGACTTCATGGTGTGAAGTGTGAATGGCAGATAGTCCAAACCTGTGCTTCAGATCTTGTATTTGAATCCTGGAATGTTCAGTGCAATTTTTTGTCCTTTTGAGGTAGGTAAAGCAACAGCTGTATAGTTCATTACATGTTCAGCTTTCAGCTAAGTCTGAAAAGCTGAAGCTTGTATGTGTTGGTTCACACTAAGAAAAGCAGAAGAGATGGATCTCTTCTAAAGTCTTTGGGTAAAACACCATTCTCTGGTCTCCCTTCACGTTCTGTTCCTCAGCTCCATGGCTCTGCTGGCCACTGTGGAGGTACCAGTATTTATTGCTGTTTGAGGCAATTCTTCAGTTCTGTCTTTAGCTCTATTGATAAGAGCCAGCATGTTTGGAAGAGTAGCATACAGGTTTGGATGAGGGTTGTAGGTAAGCTGGAAGTCTAGATTCCTTCAGGTCCTACAGAAATACTCAGTCCTGGTCTTTGAAACAGGATGGGGAGAATTAACTGGGTTTAGAGTGGCACATTCAAGCCTGGTTTTGGGGCAGTGGTGGGAGGGAAGAGACTTGTCAGGCCCCAGCTGGTCTGTGCCAGGTATCAAATGAGCAAGAACTGCTCAACACTATTAGCCCTTCAGCTTCCTTTTCTGGAAGAGAATAAGGTGTATTAACCTGGCACTGGTCAGGAAAGTGTTGGAGATCAGCTGTGGTTTCCGTCCGACTTGCCCTCTGCTACTTGTTCCAGTCCACAGAACTTGTGCCATGGCTGGTGCAGCAGGATGGGCAGCTTTGTGCTGCGTGAGAGGGGTCTGGCTGGGCTCAGAGGTGAAGTGGAAGTTCCTTCTTGGCAGAGCCTTGAAGAGAGGTAAGCCAGGCAGGAGAGGGCATCTTGGTTTACTGTATTGAATGTGTTTCAGGTGTGGCACTGTCAGGTGGTGTTCTGTCAAAGCAATTGTTGCTGTAACTATTCTCAATACACGATTATGCACATGACTAGTTTGTGGAGATAATTTTATTTTTTTTTTTAAGATTTCCTTCTAAGGTGCCTGTGGATGAGTTTAGTTCATGTTGTTATTTGGGAAGTTTAATGTGAGATGTTTCGTGCTATCCGATAGCACAAACACATTCGCAACAGAAGGAAGGTCACAGTGCTTCTGAAAGGCTCAGTCTTTGTTATGCACCACCTATTCAAAACAATGCATGCTAGAGAGGGCTTAAAAAATTGATCCAACACCAATGAGCCAGATGGCTGAAAGTCCTCCTGACAATCTGAATGATATCGAGGAGATCTGGGAGCAGCGCTAAAATGGAGCAAGACCCTGATAACAGCCAGCATCAACACCCAGCTTTTGGGAGAGCAAAAAGTGATGGGACTCCTGCCAGTTTGTGTTACTGAAATGTCAGCATTTGTGATCAGTACCAGGAATATATATCTCTATATTTCCTTTGTAGGACCCTTATCTCCAACAACTCTAATTGCGTGAATAGAGAGAAACCCTGATGGATACTGATGAATATTCATAAAACACTTGCCAATTTTCTTCTTAGCCAGTTCTAAGAGGTGTAAGATCACAAGATCAGTTTTTCTTGGGCATGATTGTGATCAACAGTAGGAGGTGTGACTGAATCCCCTGGACTGTCAGCTTTGCCACACTTCTGATTTGAAATGTTGTTTTTGCAATCAAATGGCCAAAAAAAGTTCTATTTCAAATAGATGTCTGTGTTTCATTGTTTTAGGTTTTTGCAATCAAATGGCCAAAAAAAGTTCTTCTATTTCAAACAGATGTCTGTGTTTCATTGTTTTAATGCTTTACAAATTTCTGCATGTACAAATATCCATGGGTTGGGCGCTCAAGCAGAATTTTTCAAGAGTAGCTTCTAAACCTCCAGTGTGAACACTCACTAATCTGTAGTCATAAAGTGACCCATTTCAATGAGCTTCTATAGACTGTGATATGATGTGGAATTTTCATAGAGGACTGATAATGCAAACTCCATGATGTGCTATCAAAGCAGTGTTTTAAGTGCTTGTTTGATAACAGAAAGGATCTGCAATATTTTATTTTTTTTCCCTGCTTGCTGAGTCCTTTCTGTCCTGTTCTGTTTCTTCTGTGCTGTAACTATCTGTGTCGTTCCTTTCAGGATGCAGAAGGAGGTCTCTATGTATGCATGAACACCTTTCTGGGATTTGGAAGGGAACACATTGAAAGGCATTACCGGAAAACAGGACAGTGTGTGTATTTGCATCTGAAACGACATGTGATTGAGGTGAGAATTGTGGCTTCCCAACTAACTACCCTGGCAGTTCTTGGCTCTCTTTTGCTGGTTTATGTAACTCATTTCAGACACAGACCAAATCCTGAATGACGGAAATGAACATGTTCAGATTTGGGGCTGGATGTCAAATTCAGTTGCTTGGATCCCAACCAATCCTATATCTTCAGTTCTGAGATGAATCTTCTTGCCTGACTTCCACTGATCTATTTCACTACGTGCTTCTGCGTATTATATACATATTGTCTGTATATTATGTGCATACTGTAGGTAACTAAATACTTCTCTGAGACCTGCCTTTGAAGTGTAGAAGTACTGGTTTTGTTTCAGATTTGGTGGAAGTTCCTGAGATTTTTTTAATTTTTATTTTGTATGAGGTTTCATCTCAGGGTGGTAGGACTTCTTTTCATCCTAAGATTTCTGTACAATTAAATCATGAGCCCTAATCTTGACCTGGCCTGGGATCTAAAGCTTAGCTTAAATTCATGCTGGATTCTAATGCCACACATATAACCTGTGCTTTTTATAACATACGTTTGTGCGTGGTTTGACATCTTTAATGGGCTGTTAATGACTTGTGACCTGAGCTATATGAAAGGTGCTAGGTTTGCTTATAGCTCACTTTCCCACAAGCTCTGCCTCTTTTGGCAAGTTAGAGGGCCTAAAATAGCTGCCTGAGCAGGATAGAATACTTCACATTTCGAATTCTACAGCAATGTTTCCCCTGGGTGATGAAGGACCTGAGTTATGTAAAGTGCCCTGAGCACTTATTTCCAATAGATGATTATTCATATTTTATCAGAATGATAGTGAGATGGATTGGATGTTTCCCAGGTTAAGATTGTTAATGATGTTTGTTATACTTTAGAATTGTCTTACTTTTTAAAGGTGATAGCAACATTTTCTTTCACACTGTTAACTGATTTTTTGGAGAGCCTAGTCTAGTTTTAGCAACAGGTCTTCTGATTGAATTTAACACTCTTGAAAGATGATACCTAGGACTAGAGACAGGTGGGCAGAAATCCTGTCAGCTTTCCTTGTATACAACTGTCTTCCAGCATGTGACCTGGGAATTTTCAATATTAAGGTAAACTGGGGTTAAAAGGAGGCCTCAAAAATTCCTTTCCTGGATAAAGATTAGTCTGAAGAAGCCCAAAAGAGAAACAAGTGTATCGGCTGTTTTTTGGTGTTGCATGCACCTTCAGCTGAGCTAGTTCAGTGGTTCCTATTTTTCTCCTTGTGAATCATGATGTAGCAGAGGGGGCTGGCATCTGTGTTTGAAGGTGGTGCCACACTGGGTCATGCGGTAGGAAACAATGTTTGACTCTATAGTGCAGATGAAGATTGTGTCAGCTAACATGGCTCATAGATAGGATTCCTCATATATTAGCGGTGGATTTTGTTTACCATTACTGTTTGCTGCTTATGCTTATGGAATATCTGTGTATTCCTTTGCGCAACGTGAAACATCAGACCTTCACTGGAACGATTTTATGAAGTGTCTGGCACGTGCTGCATTGTGGTTTTGGTTTTTTTAAGCCAAGCTTTTGATGGTGTGGGATACAGTAAAGCCAAAGGCATTGGATATGCTATTTTAAGGTTCTTTCAGTGTGGCTGCTATTCTGGCCTGTGGCTCCCTTGGCATCATCCTTGCAGAATGTACTGCATTGCTGCAGAAATCCCTGTTTGCTTCCAAAGGTGTTTGGATTAAGTACGATTCCTGTACCTTGTCACAATTCAATTAGAAAATAAGGGTCAGATCTTCAGCATATTGGCTTAAGTAGAGCTAGAGTATCTCTGCCAGTGGCAGATCAGCAGTAGAGGCATCTGCTGAATCATCAGAAGTGTGTGTAAGTGCAAGTTATGGAGCACCCTCTGGTAAAATTCTTAGCTAAATTGAGAAAATGGATTTTTTTTTTTCCACTCTTCATAGTTTTTCAGTCAGCCCCTTTCCTGTAGCGTGTGGCTTGCATACAGCTGCCTGGGTAGTGTTCGGCACCGGGCAGAGCCTTAGCTTGGTACTGCAGTGGTACCTCAGCCCTGTTGAAAACACTGGGCAGAGAAGCATGAGGTTTCCTACAGTGCTGGGTTCAGTGATGGTGCTGTTATAAAAAATGTGGCAATGGTGCAGTTAAAGAGAATGCAGAATAGACTACGCTGACACCTTGTAGGAGCAGCATCACAAACAGAATTTGATGCCACTACTGATGCATTGTGTGGACTTCCATTTGCTGGGCATGTCACATCTGTTAGAAGCTAAAATTGTTTTGTGAATGGAGAACATTTTAAATGATTTCTAACAGAGGAAGAAGCAAGATAAAAAACTGTCAGGTTCTGGGTTTTTCAGGAGTATTGAGCATCTGCAGTCTCGGTTCAGATATATTCAGCAGTTTGGAAAATCAAGCTGAAATATTTAATGTCAGGTTGGCAGTGATAAACACTCCATGTGAATTCTTCATTTTTGAAGTCTCTGCTCTTAATGACTTTTACAACATTCCACTTGGTGAAATCAGAATTCAGTTCCTAGTATTGGAAGCAACATTTTTTTATTTCTGAAGCTTATATTCCTGGGATTATGTGTAATTTATTCATAACCTATTTGTAAGCGAGTTATGTTGTATCTTGCTGCTGCTTTTTAAAAATACATTTGTATTCTTGACTACTTTCTTAGACTTCCCAGTAGTATTAAGGAAATAGTGTTCTGCTTGTTACTTTCACTTCATTGACTTTTTTTTTTTTTAATGCTGGAGTTGCTCATATATATGGTTCTGTTCTTAAGTGCAGCCAAGGAGTGTTGGCATCTGCTCTTTCTAAGAATGGAAAACTTTCCTATGATGTATAAGACCTCCCTGATGATTCAAGCGGTCTACTTTGGCCAAAGCTTTATTTACATGGTGAAGGGAACCACCCAAAATATGTGACCCTTTCACCTACCAGGGGGCAGAGGCAAACATGAACTTGCCCAAGGCTGACAGGTTCTTGGCTGGTTTCTCTCCACCTGTTGTATCCCAATATTATTATTAAAAAAGAAAGTCGCCTAACAACCTCGCCAGTTACACTGACGTTACACGCTACATAATGCATCACGTTGGCATTATAGCCACAGAGGCTTATTTGATTTAATTTGATTTGATTTAATGGTGCCTGTTAATAAAGAGCTGAAGAAGCAAATGCACTGACGTTTGCATTTCCTCAGCTACTAGAGTTTTCCTTAGTAGTTTGAGATATTTTGAGCTGGGAAAGTGGTGCTTGAAACTGAATGTCACTTGGAAGTTACTGTTCTCTGCTGTGGAGTTTAAATTAAAAAATAAAATAAAATCTCTCCTAATAAACAATAGCTTGGGCGTTGTCAGGTTTCCTCCATACTCTCTAGTATTAAGAAAGCATAGTGGTAACTTGGGTTGGTCTTAACGGAAGCCGACAAGGATCCTGACAGAAAGGACACTTTTTTCTGGATAGGAAAAAATTAGCTGAACTAGTAGATCACAGCAAAGTGGTCATACTGGAATTAGGTATGAAGGATTGAAGCTTTTCTGCACATAATAGCTTTTTCTTCCTCTCTCTAATTCAGTTTTAGTCATTAAGAAATTCTGTAGGGGATCTGGTAGTGAGAGGTCTGAGTGATGGTAGATATCCTTGTCTTGTTGGTAGAACATCAGTCACCTATGGTGACCAAAGCATGAAGGATTCAGTTGGTGGCTTTCTTACTCCATGAGGGTAGTGGGCAATGATGAGTTGAATCCCGTTGTCAGAGGTGAATGAAGAGGATCTATGTTCTTGCTTAGCAAGGACTGATTTAACAGAAGGGGCACAAACAGACAGATGTGTGTCAGAAATGGTGGTGGTATTGGGTTATTGCTGATTTACTGTTGTCTTGCTTGATGGGTTTTTAATTGTTTCTTTCTCTCTTTCCAGAAGGTACCAGGGGCATCTGGTGGAGCTTTACCAAAAAGGAGGAATGCTAAGCTATTTTTAGGTATTGTGAACAGCTGCTTTCACACAGTCCTTTTCTGACCCTGTCTGCATGTGTGCTTGGGTTCTGTCCACCATTGTGTCTGGCTTCGAGGCTCTTTGTGGGTTTACTTTTTCTGTTTGGTTATTTTTTTTTTAACTTTTGGTTTTAGTTTTTAAAGTTGGTCCAGAAAAATAAATAATTCTTAGTGATTTTGGTGCATACTTAGAGATATGTGTATGTATACATGAAACATTTTAATCTAAAGTAGGCCCTCAACTATTCTCAAACAACCTAGGGTTTGATAGGTATTTTCTGATTAATTCTGTCCTTTCTCTCTCTTTGTGATATCCACAAAGCACCCTTTTATTAAAATGTTTCTTTACACCTAATGTTTAGATATAACAGGGTCTCAGTGTGGCACTGTTCTGCTCAGCCACTGGTCACAGGAAGGGTTGTTATAATTTCAGAGTTGTTACACAGGTAAATGTTCTTAAGTGATGTTGTGGTCTCTCCTTTAACAAATGCAACAGTACATATCTCATGAGTGTCTCTTACCAATTCTTATTCTGTTACATCCACAATTTTATCCCCTTGCTTCATGGAAAGCAGTTTTCTTACCATGTCCATTTCATCCAATATCCATTGATTCAGATTACCCAGAAAACCTGAGTGCCTCATAAATATGGACAAGGGGAACTTGATGCAATGTCTGTATTCTCCTTCCTCCCACCACTTGTAGTATTTCTCTTATTCATTTATTATTGATTCTCTCTGTAGTAATAGTGAATTTTTCTTCTGGTAATGAAGAGGTTAAACGTTTTCTTTACAATTGCCAGCTCTTATGGCTAAGGGGAAACAATAGCATGGTCTCCCTTTGGAATTGCTTTGATCTGTGGAATGTGTCCCTAAGAGGCCTTTGCAGATTGTGATCGATTAAATTGTTGCTGTTAATGTCTAGAGTAAGTTTTGCAAGGAGGGCTTAGAGAGGAAAAAAAAATGTAAACTGAGTCATAAAGAAATGAAATTTCTTTTGTAGGGAGAGACTGTTAAGTTGCAGATGCTGGTCTACATGCTATTTACTGTCAGTTTACATTGAGTATTATGTTTGTCACTAGACACTTGTAAAATAATTGTTTCAGAAACAAAGCTGGCTGCAATGCAGCAGTGGTGGTACAGTGTTAGCAGTGTGCATGTAAACAAGAAGTACAAAAGCAGGGTCTGATTTTATTCTTGCTGATTTACTGCATACCTTTTGAGGCTGCTCTCATTGCGGTATGCCAGCACACAGTGTACATGGCGTCATATCTCTGATGTGCCATGTTGGATTCCTCAAATTCTATCCTTGCACGTGAGTATTTTGTTCCAGCTGAGTAGATCTGGTGCAGCAGTTCCAAGTGTCCCGGCCCCGGTGAACTTCTGAAGGCAGTGTGCTTTCACTGGGGTGGATTTAGGTGGAACTATCACCATTTAATCCAGCACTTCTGGAATCTAATGCGCTTTGGAAAATGTATCTCATCTGGTCTGTTGTCCTACTGCTGTCCTCTTCGCAGCCACTGCTGGCTGGGAGTAAAATGTTATCAACTCTCTGTTCTGATCCTTGAGATAGTACTTCCACGCATTTGAATGCTTTGTATCCACTTCTTTGACTCAGCAGATTTTTAGCCATGCTTAAAGAAAAGAACAAAGAGTTATTCCTGTCCTTGTTCATAGCCAAGGAAATGAAAGCACAGAGAGGTCAGCTGATTTTATAATTTTGCATGTGACAGCAGCAGAGGTGGTTAGCAAAAGTTAGAATTTTATCTCTTAATCCAACATCTTCCTCGTTGGTTTAAAGCTGCTGGACTTCTTGTTTTAACAGGTCATTTTAGTTCTGTCTTTCTTATTGTGACCATGGGCACCTATGGTAGAGGTTTGCACCAAACTTGCTGTTATGAGCCCATGTATGTAACTTGCCATTTCATCAAGAATAGGCGATGATCAATGGGTGACTCTAACATCACTGTGTTTCTAGGTGTCTTTAAATAATTCCCTGAAGGCCCAGAGACTTAAGCTTTGTGTACAAAGTCAATCCAGTCTGGGCATTTGTTGCATTGCTTCTTATAATCCTCTTTGATGTAAAGCTATTAAAGATACTAAACCCTTTTCAATCTCCTTAGTGTTAGGAAAACATCTTTTGGACGCTCACCGATTACTTTCTAGCAGTGCTGCTATCCAGCAAACGCAATAGAAACAGACTGGTTGGGTCACTGAACTGGAAGCTTTATCTTTCCCTAAACATTAAAAGGTCGATAGCAAAATGTGTGTGCATGTGTGCGTTAACTTTTGGGCTCATTTTGTTTTGCTTTTCTTTTGGAAAAGGCTGGAGGGTATTGGCTTTGAGTGTTGTGTATAATCAAGAAGCATAATAACATTGTGCATTGAAATGTATGAACTGCCTTTAATCTAGATGTTTAGATGCCGCTGGGCAATGTGGATATGGTAACTTTAGCTCAGATTGTGCAAGCTTCCAGGGGATTTGGGGTGATATTTAAAGCAGACTGCATCACAATGCATAGAGTAGTATCCTCACTGCATTGTTATCTAGGCTAGCAAGTTTGAAGATACTTTGTGCTTGTCAATATGTGTGGCCATCACACAAAGAAGTTTTAGATCCAGTCTGTAAAATGGAAAGAAATTAATTGATGGAACAAGATGATAGCTCCCCATGACTTCACAAGGCTGTCAGATAAGAAACAGCAGCACTGTTGTCTTTGGTATGCAACTTCTTGTTTAAAATCAGCCACAGTATGGTAAATTTGATACCAGTTTTGGGAAAAAAAAAAAGACATAGTGGGACTAGGAAAAATATAATCACTAAATTTAATTTTCATATTAACCCATCTGGAAGAAAAAGAATGGATCAGAATTGATAGAAAGTTGTATTTAAATGTGACAGAACAGAAAAGAGCCATTGTGGATTTTCCAAAGTGAAGTAATGGTTCTGGATCTGCCAGAATACTCTAGGGCTGTGTGTACTAGTCCTCCTATGTATTCAGTGGCTATGTGAATAAGAGCAGTTTAATTAACAGGAGGTACTGTGATCTTTCTTACAAAGTCCTGGTCAAAAGGAGTAGTAGGATAAGAGGGAAGATCCTCATATTGAAGGGATTGGAGGCCCGGTTCTTAGAGTAGAAAGTTACCAGCTGAGTTCCTCTGGACCTGTTACTCCCAGGAGTTATCAGTGGAGCCCTTCATAATGTTCTAATTATGAAGAATTAATGTGATTATAAATGGTCTGGAAAGGGATTGAAAAATGAGGAACTAGAGTTTACTGGTTGATTTAACATTATCTAAGAGATTAAATCTGAAAGTGTTTTTTAATGTCTTACTGAATAACTAAACAATAGATGAAGTAAATGTTGAAAAATGCAGACAAGAGAAGGGCTTTAACTGTGTGTGCACAGTGGTGTGATCTGAATTAGCTACTGCTGTTCAGAAAGGTAGTTCTGAGAGAGATGGTGTGAATGGTTCTCTGAAAATGTCAACTCAATTGTCAGCGGCAGTGAAAGAATCAAGTGGAACATCAGGAGTAGAGTGACATTTTATATTTTGTTCTCTATTATTTTGGTTTATAAATAAGAAGTGAACCTCTCTTGAATAGAGGAACCACAGCTGCATGTAGTATCTCCCCCTGTGTCTCTTCCTCCAAAACCAACCAAACACACACACACACACACACGCACACAACACCCCCTTACACCTGCCTCCCCCAACAAGCAAAAAACCCCAGGTAGGTATCTGGAAGCTAGGAGTTATACACTGAGGGAGGAATCATCACATTTTTGCCTTGTTCTAGTACCCTCTTCCTGGGCATCTGTCAGTCCATGCCAGAGCCTGAACTCTAGGCTAAACATTGCTGGCAGAGTGGCCATCATAAAACTTCTCCATAGACAGATGTCCTCTTCCAGATGGGTTACCATAGCAGTATCTGCCAGTGCAGCACGTTGTGTGAGCTCTGTTTTGAGCAAAGTCAGGGCTAACTTAGACCATCAATTAAAAGACCATCAATTGAAGTACTCAAATGAACAGCCCTGTCAGCAGATCTGTAAGGATGGTAATTGCTGGTGAGAAGAGTGTCAGTGAGGAGCAGTATCCATGACACACAGCTAGTCTCTGAGAAGGCCTCGGAAAGGAAACCTTCCACTTGGTCTGTGAGAACGTGTAAACTTGCTGAGCTTTTCCTGGATGGCACATGGCAGCCTACGGCAGTGAATGCACTTCGGGCTGCTGTTTCCAAGTGTAAAGACCATTCATAAGAGTGACCGTACTGGGTTTGAGCACAGCTCTACTTACCTCTCCCAGATCTCATAGCAGCAGTAGCAGAACCCTGTTTTCAGTAAGGATGTTTTTATTTGGTAAGCTTCTGAAGAGGACTTTCACCACAAGTGATTTAAGTTTGTATTTATGTAAGTAAACACGTATGAAGTATATGTCTATGAAAGGAAAAGTTGTGAATCAGGAAGTTTTGAGTGTTTCCTGACAATATGTTTAAGTTTTAGCCCAGACAAGTTGTGCGTGCTCCCCAGCAGTAGCAGTGGAGCTGATTAGACCACGAGTGAACCTGTTGCTTTCTGGCTTTGCCATCTAAGCTTGAGTTGAGTACAGCATGGTGAGCAGATACCGTACACTAATAGAGTCTTAATAGTTTGCTGGTTTAGGTAGGACTGTGGAAATTGGGCTAGATTAACAAAGGCTGATGCTGCTAGCAAGATAGTTAAGAATTCAAATTTTGGTGGTTTAGCTTTGCTTGTTTAACACGTGACTGTGCCAGAAATCCAAGGGATGAGGTCTCTATCTAGAAATAAGAACAGTGTGCTAATGCTTTGGAGATGTAGCAAGAAATGTGAATGTTATTTTACAAGTAGCAAATGATCCAAGTGATCCTACTGGAAAGTTTTGCTTTTCCTTTTGCCACAAAAGAGAGTGTTATGACTGCAAAGTGCATCTTTTTCTTTTTTCTTTTTTAATCTTTTATATAGTTCATCCAGTGAGGTCAATGTTTCAGATGTGCCTGAAGAAAAATGAACTGAATAGCTTATAGCTTGCAAAGTGCTGCTGCTATAATTCATTGTTATTTAGAGGCTTCAGGAAGAAAATCCTCCACTTCCAAGTCAGTACAAATTTGTCCATTGCTTTTAGTGAGAGCAGGATCAAGCCCAGATTCCTAAGATGTCTTTCTAGAGTTTCAAAATTAGTTGTAGGCTCACTAGTTAACATCCTCACTTGATTTTCACATTTGTATTCCCTTTCATACGCACACAGACAGATCCATATGCACAGGAAATCCTGTTTGGGGGTCCTGCCTGGAGTCTCCTGATGCCACTATTATTAGTGCAGTCAGTTGGTAACTTGTCTAAATCTAATCTGGACATGTCCACTCCTTTTCCTCCCCTCTGGTGGGTTGGTTTACAGTACGCTGTCTTCCACTTCCAGCTGCTGTTTTCAGTCACTTCAGCAGTGATGCCTTTCTCACCGTCACTTCAGTGGTTGCCTGTGAGCTGGAGTAAACTTAATCTGCTGACCACTTGCCCAAAATAATAACATCAGTCAAACCTGTGTTTTAACGTGTCTGTTATTTTGCTTTACCTGTCGTCCTGGCCTCCCAACAACACTTATGACCTACAGACACTTTGTTTTAGTGACCACAGTGTTTAACTGGGGCTCTGAGGGAGCACCATAAAACTGTTAGTCCACTAGAACAGGAACAATGTCATGTGGACATTCACCATCAAGCTGCCAGGTCTTTAAAAAGATTACAAACTGGCTGAGTGTCTTGTGGCTCAGTCTTAGAACTGAGTAAACCCTTTTTTGCCCAGAGCTTTTTCTACTCACAGTGCATCTTGGAAGAATGTCCTTGTCCAAGAAACAGCTTCATGTGAAGTATAGTTGCTTGAAAGTTGTATTTTTCAGTACCTTTAGTGTCACAGTAATTTTTAATCAAATATGCTCCATTTGCAAGTAGATTTCCCCCTGCTCCTCTTTCCTGTAGTTACTCTTGTTCCTCTCTCAAATTCTGTAGTAGCTTTAAAATCCAAGTTCGAAACTGCATGCTGACTGCACATGGTGCCTAGTGGCTACAGAGTCCACCTCTGCCCTCATTCAGTGTGGGCTTTGTTGCCTTCTAAAGTAATAGTCATCTGATTTTATTGTAACTATGCTCGTGTTTTCTTAGTTGTGTTGGCCCTTGCGCAGGCACAGAAGATACAGTGCAGGTAGAACTTCTTACTGAACTTAGCAGCTCTGGCTCTCAGTGCATACAAGCCAAGATTTAAAAATATGAGTCGTGATTTGGGGGTTTTCAGCTGGATGTCATTAAGGGACCTGTCTGACAGTCAACAAAAGGGATTAGTTTATATAGTCATCTGCTGTATCAAGGGATTTCAGTCAGTGACCTTAGAAGTCCTTACCGCTCTGCGTACCAAATCTGAATCCCGAGAAACTCTTTGCAGTGATAATTGTCAAAAAGTGCTGGTGGTCATTTTAGTTCCTATTCAGAAGAGTAGGTGCGTGGAATGGAAGCGTACCAACTTTACTTGGTCACCTTCAGAAGTGGAATTGCCAGTTACATCCTCATGTTTCTTTCCTGGAACTGTTATGAAGTTGTGTGTATTTTTCTTTAAAATAAGAAGTATGATGCTGCCATACTGATGTGTCAGACATCCAAAATGCCATGCTGACAGGACATCATTTTCTGCTTTTCTGGTAACGTGAATGGTATGAAGCCTGAGAAGGTAAAAAGGAACTTTCCTTCCCTACTCATTGCACAAAAAAAGGCTGATGTGTGTGAAGTCCTTAGATGGCAGCGGATGATTGCTAATGGGATACTCAGCCTTCCATCCCTGGATCACTGGTTCAAATACAGGTCAGATCAGTAGCAGTAAAGTTGCTACTCTCTGGCTGTTGTCGCTGGCTTGTAAGATGAGTGTGTCTGAATTTTGAACCCAGGCAACTGTATCATTGCTGTTTCTATACAGCAGATTGTAAATACCCTAAACTTAATGTCGGTATCATAAGCAAATGAAAATACCAGCATGTCTTACACATGTCTACAGATAACAGCGGCTGACGTGAGCTGTCCTCAGGTTCCATCTGGTGGCTGACGGAGGGTGAGACCACAGGGCATGGAAGAGGCGTTTGCTGCCTTTAAACACTGAGGTTTTGTCCTCTAGGTTTTGTCCTCCCTGAGGAACCTCTGTCATATTTAGGAGATGGTCAATATTTCTGTTTTTTCTATGCTGGCCACCGTCAAATTTCTAGGCATTAACTGAAAATTCTCTGTGATGCGTCAGCCTGGAGATACGCAGGTTCTTTTTTTTCACAGAGCAGCAGAATTTACTGTTGCAGACTGTATCTGTTGAGATTCACTCCTTTATCAAAATACAGAATTTTAATACAAGCTGGGAAAGAAGCCTGGAGTAAAGTGACCTCACTGGTTATCTCTGTTATGCAGCAGTAAGGGAAGGGAGCATCATGAAAATGGTGTGATTTGGGGAATTAGTAATGAACTAATATTTTTTTCATAAATGTTGTGCTTTCATTATAAGAAAAAGTTCTTGCTTTTGTGTCTATATTCAGCTGATGAGAAGGGGCTTCTGTTGGTTGCAGCTGAGAAAGAGGTGATGCTGCTGGAAGTCACTGACAGTGGGTGTTGTCACCCCTCAGGACTGACTGGTGCAGCAGATGATCCGAGAATTGAATAGAAACTGGATTACATTCCTGTCAAGAGGTGGTCTGTCCAGGTCAAGTTAAAATCTCTTTTGATACCTGTTTTATCACTTAGGATGTTCAGGCTGTTACTGCCCACTGGGTAAACAGAGAGCTTAGTTATCTGAGTCTGGCCTCTGCCATCCTCACCTCTCTCCCAGATAAACATCTGAGATTTTGGGCATTCCCAGGGTGCAGTGGTTACAGCCAATGCTCATTCAGTGTTGAGTGACTCTTTAAACATGTGCATGTACTTGGAGTGAAAATAAGAGCTAGCTTTAGTTACTGCTAAGGCACCTTCTTTCTTGGATGAACCTTATTCTCTCAGTGACTGGTATATCAGAATACAGTAGATCCAGAATCTCCAGATGGAGAAGGATCCAGAAGATCCCATCCTTTCCCAGGCTATTCTTGCAGTTGAATCTTGTGAAATGTCTGACACAACACTCACGCATTTGGTCTTAACTTTTTCCGTTGTCCTAGAAAGAACTGTGCAAGGTTTTAACTCAGTCTTGTCACTATGGGATAATTAAATTTTTGATGAAGCCAGAGATGTAAACACTAGCCATTTAGTTACGTATATACTCTCCTGGCTTCTCTCTGAGTCCACTTATTTGTGGATCAAGGCTCATATTTAAGCAAAAAAATCATCCTTACACTGTAGTAAGAGTGTACACAAACACTACGGAAGGCTTGATCTTCAGAGGAAAGCTTTATTAGTTAATAAGTGCTTATTAAACAGATAGTTTCACTGGTTACAGAGTGGAGTTAGCAGAAGAGGGATAATGCTGGTATAGTTGTACTTGCTGTAACTATTTGAGACTCTGGATGAGATGTGGGAATACTTCCAGCCATGGATGTCTTTGTGGGAGGAAAGGCCACAGGTTCAAGATGGATGGGAGCCATAGCATGTTTCAGCCAGGTCTGTCATCTGGAAAATATTGGGGACTGAAACACGGGTGCATTGTTCCTGCTCTGCAATGTGGGCATGGGTAGTGTGACCTGGGGCTCCACACTGTATAGTGTTTCAAGATCCTGGATAAAAGGCGCAGCAGTATTACATCCTGATTTTGTCCAAAATGAGCAGAATTTTGTTAGCTGCTTCCCAGAATGTGACGTCAGCAACAGTGCATTGCTTGGAAAGGGGCAAAATCAGCTGTGACTGGGGATTAGATTAAGGTGGAAATTTTGGTCCTCAGAACATCCTCTTGCAAGATGGTCAGATTTCAGTTTAGATCAGGATTTCACAAACATTTCTAGCCAGGAGAAATTACTGACAGTGCGAACTTGCAGGTGGATGCCAGGCAAGCAATGCTTCGTAGTGGTACCCCCGCCAGAATTTAAGCATCTTGATCTTGGGACAATCTCCTGACATTCCCTATCTTGTTTTCCAGATCTAGAGACAAACGGTGATCTCAGCAGTGATGACTTTGAATACGAAGATGAAGCAAAACTTGTTATATTTCCTGATCACTATGAAATCTCATTACCCAATATAGAAGAGTTACCAGCACTGGTCAGTGAGTGTGTGCAAGTGGTGATAGGAATTGTCTCCTGCTTCAGTTTTTTCAAGATGGTGCTTTGTTTTCTTATGTATGGCAACTGTTTTACATAAAGATCTCTCTTAAGCAGCTGTAATAGAGAACCAGTCATTTTTATCAGTCTGCTTTGTCTTTGTTTCTTGGATTTCCTGTTACCTCCTGTATTCCTTCCCTTATTGTGATGCCATCTTGTCCCAGGGAAGCTTATATAGTACATGCACTTACTCTCCTGCTAAAATAATAACTGCTGCAATCTAGAATACACGCGTATTTAAGTATATAAATAGTCTGACTGATACCCAGTTTTGTATGTCATTAGCAACGTGCTGAATGCCAGGTTCTGTCAAGTCACTTAATCGTGTTAGGTTTTGATTGACATACATTTGTCTTCCAGGTGACGATAGCTTGTGATGCGCTCCTCAGTGCAAAGTCACCCTACAGGAAGCAGGACCCTGACTCCTGGGAAGAAGAGCTACAGGCATCTAAACATGCCAAAACACTTGTACAGTTAGACAATGGTGTTAGAATTCCCCCCAGGTGAGGGTAATAAGGTTTGTTCGTTGTAGGCTCTCTAATCTAATACAGTCCAGAGTAACAGAACTAAAGGCAGCAACTCAGCCAACAGTTCTCTTGCATGACTCCAGCTGGGTGTGTATGTTTGGTTTGACCTACAGTAATTTGAAATACAGGACTGGTTCCTGCCTTACTTATTTCTGTTGTTTATTCCTGTTTTCTCTTGCAGTGGTTGGAAATGCTCAAAATGTGACCTGAGGGAGAATCTATGGCTGAACCTGACGGATGGTTCGGTGCTGTGTGGCAAGTGGTTCTTTGATGGCAGTGGGGGGAATGGGCATGCCATGGAGCACTACAAGGAGACAGGTTATCCCCTGGCAGTGAAGTTGGGAACCATCACTCCTGATGGAGCAGGTCAGCCACCTGGCAGATTCTGAGCTGGAGTATTTTTTATGCATGAGACTGATAGTGTACATCTATTACCAATTGGGTTTGTGCTTCTAGTGCAATGTTTGAGAGACTGGTATGGGAAGAAAACCCTATGAGTCTGTGAATCTTGATCAAGGTTAGAGGGAATGACATGCACTCCATTTGGAGAAAGCTCTTAGCTTTTTCATCTGTTCTTCTTCTGTCTTATAATTGGTGTAAATAGTTTTTTCTGGGTTTGTATAATAGTAGAGTGATATTATTTTGAAGCAGCAGAATCCAGAGAAGCAGTATTTTTTCCAGTTCTGCTGCATTTGCTTGGGCAAAGTGTTCAGTCTTCTGTAACATGGAAACAATAACAGGATAATGATTTTTAAATTCAGAAAAAGTCTGTTCTTATTGGCATGTATGTTTATCATACTGGATACTGTGCTAATTTCCTTATTGTTTCGGTAACGTTTTATTCAGTCTAATGAACGCTCATCTTTGTGGGGCTGCTGTAATGCTAATTTGTAAAAATCCTGGTGATCTTGAGAGGGGGAAAAAGCTATGGATGTGTCCTTGTTTGCATATTCTCTGAGTGTGATGTTCTGCCGTGTTGCTGTGGTGTGTGAGATTAAAAACACAAGAAACTGAAAAAGTCATAAGCAAAGAGATCCTTTGCTGCAGCTGTATAGAGAAATGAAAAACAGAAGAACACACAGTATGATTATACTTTGGTTTTAGTACTTATGATCATATGAATGAAAAAAATAGCCATTTAGAGCAACCCCTTCTTTTAACACATATCAGTTGAGAGTTTTTAATCTTTAAGTCCTGTTCAGTGTCAGGGAAAGGAGACTGTAGTCTGATTCAACCAGCTGTGCCACAGAAACACTGAACAAAATTCAGTCTTTTGTCTCCCAGATGGAATATTGTTTCCTTGAATGAGCCTGGTCTTGGATGATTTTTATCTGAATCTCTCAATTATTTAAGGTGTTTAGAATTTGCCCAGCTGTAGGTTTCAACTGTATCTACGAAATAAACAGAATATTCTTTAGTGTTTTTTCAATTATTTTTTTAATTCTCATCTTTAGCAGCAGTACTTGGTTCCTTATTGCTGCTGTCCTGCCCCTCACTGATCAGCTGCATCCTCTCTTATGTGGCCTTTAGGATAACAAAGGACAGGCTGTCATCCTTCCTTCTGAATGAGGGGCACCAGCTGTTCTCCACAGACCTTTGTTCTTCTGGAGGGCATTTACTTGGTTTCCCTATAGAAAAGACTTCCCTCCCCCAACCCTCCTTGTTTCCTGAATTTTCAGTAATTGTTCTCTCTCTGTGCGTGGTAGTCATAACCTCTCTGTAGGGCTGGATGATAGAGGAGCTTCAGGAAAGAGCCTCTGTGGCTGATGGTGATGCAAAGTCTGTCTGGTTTCTCCTTCCCTGGACTGGAGGTGAAGAAGTGACAGCAGAGGAGTAATAAATGTTAGTCCCTCTGGTGACATAGCTTACTCCTTTTTCACACCAGTAAGAAAAAGAGGTGTTGCCAGTATTCCACTTACACTTACCCTGTGTGTACACAGAGGGAGGAGAGGAGAGCTCCTTATCTTTTCTTGAGAAATCTATTTTGTATACATTATGAAAGATTTCTCAGGCATTAGCCCCATTTTGTAGTGTTCTGTCAACAAACAGGTCTGAGACCAGGACAGAAATTGAACCAAACTTCTGTCTTCCACTCTTGGACCTTGGACAGGATGTATGAGAGAGTCAGAAAAGCTGCTTGCTTCAATAGGTTAAGTACTATTTGGCAGACTGTGCTACCTGCTGCCTCTCCCAACAATGCCATTAGATTTCATTTCAAGTCATTGTGAGGCTTCGTATTTGAAGGTGGTTTGAGGAATGGAGTGGGGGTTTGTCAGTGGGAAGCCCTGTCTGACAGGTACTTGAATGAGTTGCTTTGTGGATGCCAATCTCGGCAATTGTCAGATGCTTCTTTGGGGGATCCTGTGCAACTTGTTTCTTCAAAGACAATGTTGCCTTTGCCTCTTATCCTTTAAGGAGGAAGGAGTGATGTCTACAAAGCCAGATCACGTGTAAATCTTGAGCTGTGGAAGAAAGGGAAGTACAGGTAGCATCGTCATTTTTCTTTCTTACCGTAATATGAATAACAATGATTATTCTCTGTTTAATAATATTCTCTGTTGTCTGTCTCTGATTTTTCTTGCTTTTGAAGAAATTTTCCCCCTTATATTCCTCCCTTCTTCCCCTTTCTCACTATAATGCTACCTTCTTCTGTGTGTCACATTTGCTGACTTTTCTACATTCCTTATCTACTAGAATCCATATGACAGCACTGCAGACTTGTGTCTGGGGACTCTCTTCTTCTTTCTTTGATTTGCTGCTCTTTGACTTTTTTGAAATAAGCGAATTCTGTCTCTCATGAATTTAGGTGGGCTACACAGCAGAAAGTACTAAAGTATATGATGCAAGAGCTTGAGCAAAAGATTAATATGTCTTGTGTTCTGTTTCTGCTGCTCTGGGTCAGTAGTCCCAGATGGCTGCTCTCTCTTCGTTTGCCAGCGCTGAGACAAAATCAAAACTTCCACATTAAAAGCAGTCACAGAAGATCAGTTGATGTGTAATCTCACTCCATTAGGTGTTTGAACTTTACAGGATCTTTTGGCTGCGCTGTGACCTCACCAGAAGACTATGGGAATGTTGTGATCTCGTGTGTGTGGATGAACAGTCATTTCTTGCCACCACACAGTGGAATTCCAGCAGATGGGCAGCTACAGCCACACGCATGCCAGAGAGGTCATCAGTACCAGTGTTAATAAAGGGTCTGATGGCTAATCAGCAGCTGGCAGCACAACTCAAAAGCACAGTTCTGTGGTTTGAGAAAGTTAATGTTTTTCTTAGGGCTGATAAATTTTAAAAATTGCATTAGGTCTTTGAGGTCTTGGCTAACTTCCAGCCTATCATTTCAGTGTGGGTTTGGTAGTAGTAGACTTCAAGGAGACTGCCTTTTTGTAGAAGTCTTACATAGGCAATGGGCTGAGTCAGAGCAAGGGTCTCTAGTTGCCAGGAGAGGGCAGGGTAAGGAGCTTTCAGAAGTGATATTTGTGCTGTGAACAGCCTTTAACTGAGGTCCTGCTCTCTTCTAACTTTTTTTTCATGTCTCTCCTGGCTAAGTTTTCTCTGTCAGCCAAGATCTGGTCATATAGGGCAAGGTCACTGTGAAAAACTCTGCTGGGCATGAAGAAAACTTGTCTGAGAGAAGTGCAGGCAGGCTGGCAGAGGGATTCTGGATTTTGTTATGAATAGAGACCAAAGCAGGAAAGTCATTGTTCACTACAGAGGAAGAGGCCAGATAAGATGGAAGGCCTGTTCAAGTCTTCGTAGCAATGTCTTATCACTCATATCCTTTTAGATAGAAGCCTGCAGCTTTAGAGTTCTTTGCTCAAGTAGGTGAAACCTACTCTGGACTAAGATTCATTGCAGGACTTGCTTGGTAAACACTAAGTGATTTTTTTTCTTTCTCAACCATTTTGTCCTTCTGATGGATTTATTAAACTTGGTTTCATAATGAAAATATCACTAGACATGTTTCTTCCCTCCACAGTTTGAACTTTCCCCTGACAAAATATTTATGGGCTTTAACTTATGGCTGTAAGGACCTAGAGCTAGAACCAAAATCTGTATCTCCTGTACAATAAAGCAAGACACCTCAGTCATGAAACTGGCCTTTCTCCCTAACCACAAGATTAATCTTCCAAGTCCAGTCCAATGGTGTCTAATCCAATGAACATTTCTTTATTTCTAATAAAGAATTTCTCAGTTCTCTGTGTATTCCTGTGGGAAAAGGGCATAAGTGGATTCCTTAAACCATACTGGAAATTAAAATACCATTGGCAGTAGTCAGCCCCATGTACTCACAGTTTTAATGTGTCTGCCTGTATCTAGTAGCTCCACAAAAACTCAAAATCTCTAGTTGCCATGTTCAAAACGTGGACTGGCCGCATATCTGAGAATTTTGCATGCCCTGTTCCTTGTTCTCCCTACAAATTTCTTATTTTTGAGGGGGAAGTACTATGATCACTATAAATATTCGTAGGTTTTAATACTGTCAGTGCAGGTAATGTCTTTTGAGGAGGGTGTTTGAGGTGACTGTGTTGAGAACATTTAAGATATTTACTGAGCTGTATGGGTGCCTGCATTTTTCTGCTGGTTGTAACCAAACTTGGAGAATATGAATAAGGTATCTTATACAGGCAGTCCTGTACCAAGAATGCAATGTTGGTAAACAAAGAGAAGGGATAACATTTGATACTACATCTGTTTCTCTCTTCTTTTGTAGATGTTTATTCCTTTGATGAAGAGGAGCCAGTTTTAGATCCACATATAGCAAAACATTTGGCACACTTTGGAATTGATATGCTGCAGATGCAAGTGGTAGGAAAACCACCTTTTATTTAGTTTGTTATTTACTTGTGTGTTTAGTTGGAGGTGGAGGAGAAACAGGAGAAGAATGATGCTCATAGCTTGTATTTGTGTGATCCTTTAGTCTGTTATGACAGTATTTAGTTTTGTAAAGTTCAGCCAGGTAGTTCATGTTTTATTTTCTGAGGTCTGAGATGAGTGGATCGTTATTCTCAAATCTGAAAGTTGTCTTCCAAAAGAATTCCTTGTAGTCTCTAGCTTACATGTTTCACTTCCTGTGTGTTATGTACCATTTTCCTTAAGATAAAAAACATCATTCAATTAGAGAAGAATATCTAGAATAATTAATTACAGTAAGTGAAGGCAAGTCTATTGCATGTGTAAACAGATACAAATCTTAAGCAAAAATAAGCTAAGCAATGGATAAGTAAAAAATGTGGTTGAAAGTTTCTTTATATAAAGTTATAAATTGCAGTTTAGGCCTTGTTAATGAATACATTACAAAATGAAAGAATACATTGTCTCAAGTCTAGAAAAGAGCATGATCTGTGGTGTGGAACACTAGAAAGGGACTGGGGCAAAAAGGGTCATGAACATGGTGCTGGTAGAGAAGTCCTTTTAATAATTTGTATCTTAGTGGATGTTGATTCCAGTTCTGTTTAAATCATCTAAGAAGTCTGAATGGAATCTGGTTATAAAAGCAGGCGGTTTGTGTTTTGGTGTGGTTTGGTTTTTGTGGGATTTTTTTTGGTTGGTTGGTTTTGGTGTGTGTTTTGGTTGAAAATCAATCTGAACATGAAAACTGTTAAAAATGAACAAACCTGATACTGGCTTAGTGTACTTCATTGTCCAAGTGGAAAGAAAACCAATAATAACTCTAAAATGATAGAGAAGAGTTAAAATGCAGTTTCAAAAGCCTTCATGGTACTAATAATATTTTTTGTATATTAATTTCCATGCCAATATAATGGATAAAAAGTCTCTTTTATCCAGTGGTCTTTCTGAAAAACCTGTTTTACTTGGCAACCTTGAGAGCTTAGTCTGAGCTGTTGCAAAGGTTTCACCTCTGGTCTTCAGACCAGTCTGAAAAATTCTTGGTGAAGTGGTGGAGTGATGCTAGCAGCAAATGACACTGTAGTGACCTGTGCCTACATGCTGTGAACAAGCTACCTACATGCAAGCTGAAAACTGAGCTGTAAGGGGAGAAACTTCAGCATCACAAATCTTGGCTTTTCCCATTTGAAAGAAGGAAAGAATTCTTGGATCTGCAGCATTTCATCTGGTTTGTTTCCTAGGACCATCTTCTACAGCAGCAGATATTTCTGGCCATTACAAATGGAATATGAAACCTGAAAAAATGCAGTGTTTTTATGCTGAGCTTGAGGTTACAGACCTGAGAGAAGTGAAGCTCCCAGCTGGGACTGAGGTCACAACTAGGAACACTCAGAGAGCCTGTGGTCTGTGATAAAGAGTGAAGAGGTATATTGGAAGACCAAGCTGCTAGCCTTCTGATCTCCTCTCCATGCAGGATTTACCCCCCTTTGCTCATTAGTTTGGCTCTTCTTTTCTAGAGTATAGATCACAAAGTTGTTGATGATGATAGCAGCAGCATAATTGTTGCAGAAGTTAAACAGATAAAAAAATCTTGTTGCTTTCAGACAGAGAATGGGCTAAGAGATAATGATATAAAACCAAGAGTCTCTGAATGGGAAGTGATTCAGGAAGCTGGCGTGAAACTCAAGCCCATGTACGGCCCAGGATACACCGGCATGAAGAATCTGGGAAATAGCTGCTATCTCAATGCTGTCATGCAAGCCATTTTCAGCATCCCAGAGTTCCAGAGAGCGTAAGTAGCTTCAAACTAGTTCTTGTCACTAGCTGCTGCATTCCTCAATCTTTTGTTTTTCTAAGCAAAATGATATTTTAATTTTGGTCTCACCTGCAAACAAGTCTCTCTCAGTTCAGTGGCCGCTTAGAGGATTTAATATTGTATTTTTCTGTTCTGGAAAAAGTTGGAACACAAAACTCAATCTGCCTTTGAAATCAGAACTTACTTAGCTTCAGTGGTGGGGAAACATGCCACCTTGTAAACTTGATTACTCTGTCTCTGCTTTTTACATAGATATGTACATATCTCAATTTATCTTGGTATCATCAGTATCACATTAGGGTTTTTTGTACTGGCCTGTGCCTTCGTGTAGCTGCAGGAATCATTTCATTTCATTGCTCTAGTGTCATTTGTGCAAACAATGTAGTGGCACAAACATGTTAATATTGATCCATGCTAGTGAAAAGCAATGCATGTTTTCCATGCAGGTCTGGCTAAGAGGGAAACTATCAGAGGCATTTTTAAATTGAAATTCTATATTTTAAAAAATCTCATTTCATGAAAAGGGTAGTCTGAGCATATTCTTCCACAGGATAATTAAGAGAGTAAAAGGACGAAAGCATTTTTGTTTGAGTCTACCTGTCATCCATCATAAGCACAACAGAAGAACATGAAATATTCCTGACTGATCAAAACTGAACACATCACTCCAAGGAGAGAAGCTTTTTTTATAAAGGACAGTCTATGGTTTGCAATAAAATTCAGAGTGCTCTTTCCTTCCACAGCCCTAGTGGTGTGTGTGCTGGAAGTAAGGCTTTTAGAGTTTGGAAAGCCTCCCAGGTTTTCATGTAGCAATTGTGTTCTGGAGAAGAAGAGAGACAAAACTTATGTTTGTTTACTTTGTTAGCCATATGGAGTACAGTCTGTAGACTCATTAAGTGCCAGCTTTTCTACCTGCATTTTCAAAAAATACTAAAATGAACTTTACTAAGGGAGGTTGCTTTCCACAGCATGATCCTTGGAGTTACCTGGAACACTTAGTATCAACAAAGTAGTGGAGATCTTTGATGAAAGAAGGACCAGGCAGGAATTAGGTGTGTTCTTTCATCTTTGCCGTACCTACCTAGCCCATTTTTCTTTGGCTTAAGGGAAGCAATGCTCACATAGTGTGCTACTAAATATTTCACTTTCCAGCAAGCTGACTAGAACAATATATACCTCAGTGTTTGTTGTCAGGGGTTAGCCTTTGTTTCTCTGAAGAAACTCAATGGAAACATTCTTTTTATGTGTTTTGATCCTGATACAAATTTGGAATTTATTTGGCAATGTTGGTTAGGAGTAGAAAGTATATTGGTTCTCAACCCAGCTCTAAGGTCTTGAGCGACACTATCAAGCAGCTATTTCAAGATCAAGGAAAAGAATTTAAATTCTGGATGAACAACAGTGCCAAACCCTTTATAGCTAGGAGCTTCTAAGCAAAACTTAAATGTCCATTTCCTAATTTCTTTATTATTATTTTTCCATGATAGAAGCACTCACCAGGGATAGATTAAGTCACTGCTATGATGCAAAATTTGACTTGTTAACACAGAGGAAGCCTGCTGATGCATCACTGATAAAGGCTGAGGATCTGTTAGGATATCCTTGAGTAAATCTAACTGCAATACGTGAGTGGTTCTGCTTTATTCTTTTTTTCTAGGTATGTGGGAAACCTTCCACGAATATTTGACTACTCACCTCTTGATCCAACACAAGATTTCAACACTCAGATGTAAGTGACACTTCTCAATGATTTACTTGGTCAAATTAAATAGAATCAAAATAATTCAATGGCAGGGCAAAAGAACACCTCTGCATGGGCTTGAATGTGAGATATGGCACAAGGTAGAATGGGATTTGACTGCTTAGTTGCAGGTAATGATGTTTCATCAGGGAGTGAAAGATAATAAACTTCTTTTTTGCCTGGAGTAAAAATCTTCTCTTCTGTTTTTCTCACGTGTTTGTTTCCACTTTCTTCCCTACAGGGCTAAATTGGGACACGGCCTCCTTTCAGGCCAGTACTCTAAGCCACCCATGAAATCTGAGCTTATTGAGCAGGTGATGAAAGAAGAACACAAGGTATTTGACTGAGTTTGTGCAGCCTGGTAACTAGGTAAAAGTGATATCCTGAGAAAAGGGAACAGGTGCTGGGCATTGAAGAACACGTGTGGATCCAGCATGGGATGCTTAGCAAGGTGGAATGTGCAGGATTCTAGTCAGGAATATATTAGTCAGGGGCTATTTGTGCAAAGCATTAAAGCAACCATTGGTTCTGCTAAGAAATAATCCTGCTGCTCCAGTGATGAGTGCAAAAGTTCATAGAACTTGCAACTTACCTTGTCTGAGGAACAACAACAACAACAAAACTTGAGTATTTGGAAGCAAACTTTTAAATTGTCTTTAAATTTCAGAAAGAAGTATAAAGACTAGTTTCCAGGGAGTGTCTGACAATATTCCGCCTCATTTCAGGAGAAGCTGTCTAGGTAATGCAAGATTAGGTGGTCCTCGAGCCTTTCATGTTGATGGAGGAGGGGCCATGCAAAGCCATGTCCCATGGGGCTTTATTTCATGATACAGAAACCATGTAGAAGCATGCCTGTGCCAGTGGGATCTGTCCTGGAAACAGCAGTATATATGGTTTTGGATATAAATTGAAAGTAATTGTTGGACAACCGGGGGAGAACAATGTATATATCCTGATTTATAATAATTCACAATAGAAAAAACCTTGGAATCAGCTTTCTCAGAATAGGCAATTTCAGAACAAAGGTGTACTGATGGACAAACACTGTATAGCTAACATGCTAGACACAAAGGAGAGAGGCATTGGAGGATGAAATAACCTTTTGTCCCATGTTTATATAAATAGAATTTTATTTCTCCATCACAGTGAGTGATACCAGTGGTAGACTGTGCTTTTGTTTTTACTGTAATTTGCGGTAATTTTGCAGCAAAATAGATATTAACTCATTATATCTAGCTTGTATCTAGCTTTGTGAACTCCAGTATTGTTGGTTCTGTAATCTTCATACTATGTTTGTGGTGTTCTTCTGCGTCATGAAAGTTGTTTGTTTCTCTTAACGCTGCAAAAATCAGTAAGGTGTGTGTTGGCATTGTGACACCCATAGACCTGTATCTTCATCTGCCTGTGCTTTTGCCTCACCCAGCAGTGAATACATTCACTCTCAGTAATCAGAAAGCATCTTCATATTCTTTGTCCAAAAGTCTTGGTTTTTAGCAGTAAGGATGAGTTTTGAAGAAGGCCTGACTGATCTGTTGATAATAACAAGGTTCATGGGTACTGCCTAATTCATTGGTTTATATTTTTACCTGTTCACACTTGCTTTTGTGAAGAAGAAAAGCTGTCAGTAGCTTTGTGGTGAGATGGAAAAGTTTTGTCTATTTTTTTTAAGTTGGTTTAACTTTTCATCACCCTTTGAAGAATGAGAAGATTAGTTCAGATTTCTGTTCAAACTCTGCTGCTTTTGGAATAGCCTTTGTTTTCTGTAGAGTCATCCAATTAACAGTTGTCTTAAGCAAATCGTTAGTTGTTGGGACGATGTTATCTACCCAAGCAAATCTGTTATTTTAGGTTTGTTTTACTAGTCAGACCCTCTACCTTGAAACATCTTGTTTAAATTGATGCTGGAAAAACTGGACCTAGAACATATTTGTGTCCTTGCCAACTTCTGTTACTGTGACCCCAAGCGGCATGTGGGGTCAAACCACAGATTCCACATATGGGATATTTAGAAATGAAAGGTCAACTAATAACCAATATTGAGTATACTATCTGTAGAAAGGAACTGTCTTTATGGACAAAGAATCTCTGCTACTAAGTTGTAGTTTTACACACAGTGGAAGTCATGTGCTTCTGTCACAGAAGCATGGTGATAGATTCCATAGAGGAAATATTTTCTTCTGCCTTCATCTATTGGTTATTGGTATAGGAATTTCTTCTTCTGAAATCAGAATGCTGAGAATTTGAACAAAAATAGAGCATCTAGTACAGAGTAGTTTGTATGATCTGAAAGTTCTATGTCTCCTGAGTAATTGCTTTGTACAGTAGCTGTTCATTGTTTTGGAACAATGAATGAATCCTGCTTGTTTTCTTTAAATACATTCAAAACTTACCAACACGTCACTGTGACTAAGGAATGGTAGAACAGATTTCAGCAGACTTCTCACATTAAATTATGTATACAGACTGACCTGCTTTCTTAAATGCATACAGGATATGAATGAAGAATAATGTGCTGGAAGTCCAGGGACTTGAACCCTTCAAATAAAACTTAACCTCCGTGTTTAGCCCAGCAGCCACTACTAGCAATGAGATGTTGAGAACTTTTTAATGACAGATGGTATAAAACTGTCAGGTAGTATTAGCCATCTACTGGCATTTAACAATAATTGTGTTGTTCCCAAGTTCAGTTTAAGGAAATTGTAGTTAGGTGCATCAGATGAATTCCTTATCAAGCAATTCATAGCATGTATTAGGATTTGAAACAGCTCTTACTGCTTTTGTTCTTTGTTGTATTGAAGATTTATTTGGAAGAAAAATCAACTATAGATATTTCATCCATTCCCTCATTCTGGGTGTTCAAGTCTGTGGTTTGTCAATTTGGGGGTGCTTTTTTTGGTTGGTGTCTTCTCCCCCAGTAACACCAATATACATACAGATAGTATTTTGCCATCTAGAGGGTTGAACTGACATTTATAATAAATACAGTTGCATAGGATTTTAAGTCTTCATCATTTTCAAGTGCTTCTGGTTTGTGTCTATAAATGAAGTTATTCATTTTTGGTTTATTCTTTTACTGTTTTTTCCCTTCCTACATGCAAAGAATTTCTGTAGCTTTCTGGGTCTTTGGAATTCATCCAAAGTTTTGGGGAGTTGTTGCCTGTAAAAGCATTCATATGAGATCTGCAGTGGTCCAGCACAGTCTATATTTAGCCAAACTGTTTTGCAACTGTTGATGGGGAAGTATGCTAGGTATTCTATAAATATTCATGGTACTGTGGAGCTAAAATTTTTCACCATAGGAGTTTAGTCTGGAAATGGCAGCAGTATTCCTGGACCCGCTTTACCATTAAAAACAGGCTGAAAGCCTAAAGGGTCATCAGCTAGGACTTGATATTTCTGTTTAGAGATTTGTCATTTCTTCTGTTATTTTTCTAGTCCTTGAGGTGGAAAGGGAGCAAGACCTGATCCTCTTCTATAGACTGTCATACATGGCGTGTTTCTCTTCTCCCTGCTCAAATGGCTGAGTAAAAAATATATAGATGGAAACAAGGCTTAATTCCAAACTCATTCCATTATACATCAGGGCAAATGTGCCACCTTGCCATATTCTTGCTTCTGACGTAGAAAGAAGCCTGGTATATAGTAATTTGAGCTGTTTTATACATTTCTTTCCTCAAGTCCTAGCTTTGATGAAAGGCACCGAAGGACACTGAAGTGATATATAACTCAAGATTCAGAAATCCCTAGAACATCTCTTTGTTCAAGCATTACTGGGAGCCTTTAAAGAGCATCTTAGCCTAATGTGGTTGCTGGTGTGCTGCCAGAAACTGAAATAGCATTAGAATTAAGAATCTGCTTCTGATTTCAGTGGGTCTAGGAATATCTTACCCTGGTGAAACCAAGAATAAAATTTTGCTCTTTTATTGTGTGTTTTATGTGCCTTCCATTTCATGTTCCTTTTTCTGTTTTTATGTTGGTATGAGAGCACAACTGTAGTAAAGAATGAGATTGGCTGAGTATTTAACAGCATCTGACATGTCCTAAAGGCTACACTTTTGCTTGGATTGTCTTGAGAATTATTTGGTCTCATGGAGGATGAGAGCAAATCTGAGTAAAAGATTCTAACCCTTTCAAAAGTGTTATTTAAAAGGGATAATAGCTAGTGTTGTCTTGAAGATGCAATTTGGGGTGGTTGGGGAGGCTTCTTAAAGTGGTATAGAGGGTGAGAAAATCAAAACTAGGACTCTTGGAAGCTAGAGATTTTCTGATTTAAGGTAGTTTTGTACTGATGTGACTGAATGGCTAAAGGCAGTATGTTCTGGTCCTTCAACTTGACCGACACTTGCAAATTGCAAATTCGTGTCTGTTCTTAACAGCCCATCTGGGAGTGTGTGCTGCACACATTAGTTGTTCTCTGCTTGATTCTGTAGAGATCTCTGGAAAGGGTTTGGCCTGAGTCAAGCTGCTAGCTTATATATATCAAAGTGCTTCAATGCCCACACACTTTTAGGTGGAACAGCGTTCTGAAAAGAATGTCAAATGTTAGAAAATAGTGTAGGCTTTTAGTTTTTCTGAAAACTACTAGCCTTTATCAAACCTTCAGTAGTCTCTTTTAACTTGAAAATGACATAGAAAAATCAGATAAAGTGAATCCTGTTGGAACTATGTCATAAAACGTATTATAAAACCCCCAAATCATGTTTCAGGACCCTTTTCCATTTTTATTAAAGTGGAAAACCAGATGAAACTGAAACTAGCATTTCTCCAGTGACAGAAATAGGCCATAGATGGATCTAATGGGGTCACTTTGGGATATTTGGTCCAGGAATGAATAAAAATCCTTCTTTAAAAGGTTTTTCTTTTTTTTTTTTTTTTAATTTAGCCTCAACATAACGGAATATCTCCCCGAATGTTTAAAGCTTTTATAAGTAAAGGCCATCCAGAATTTTCCTCTAATAGACAACAAGATGCGCAGGAATTTTTCCTACATCTTATAAATTTAGTAGAGGTAAGAAAAGCTCAATTACTACTTCTTTTCCCTGATTATATTCAACAATGAGGATAGAGCTGTTGTGTGAGTGGCTCATTTTTTTATTACACTCTTTTTAGCCTTGGATACATAGAAAATAGCACTAATTTAAATGTATTTTGGTTTAGAAACATTTGTTTCTTTAATCCTCCCTTCTCTTTACTTCAGACCCTTGCATGACCACACACTGACCACACACAGGTCCAATGCTGCTGATAACAACTGCAAGAGATGTAGAGAGGTTGAGCATCACTGTATGGGCTATAAGATTTATAAGCATATGTGACTGTCCTTTCAAATTGCTGTTCGTTTTATGATTACATGCTATCCATTTATTTACCATCTTGAAGTCTGTCTTGGAATATTGATGAATGGGGTATTATGATTATGATGATTATTATTCCAAATTTATGTCATCATTGGAAGCAAACTAATTGCTATGTCCAGTTCTTTTACAAATCCCAGCTGTACACCATTGAATCGTTACGGGAGGAAGGACTTCCCTGCCGAAAGCAAAGTGACTATTTTTCAATTGAATATTCCTGTACAAAATGTTAGTTGCACTGAGCTCCAGCTCAATACTGTGTAAAAGAATCAGTACTGTGAATTTTAATGCTGTCTTTCTGAAAAGGAAATTTACAAATATATGCAGTTTTGATTTAAATAATTTTGTTCTCTTCTGCCCTTGCTCCCTCTTTTTCCAGTTTTCCCCAAGAATCGAGGGTATTTATTTGTGTGTTACAGTCTAGATGAAGTTATTCACATTTGCATGCATAATGTTCCACATCCCAAAACTCATGTACTGATTATAGGGTGTTTAGAAGATATTTTTCTGGGGTTTTTTTTGCATGCTAATAGACATTAATATGAACAATAAAGAGGAGATATATTATTTGTCTGACATTCCCAGCTGGATAATGAACTACAAGTTGCTTGTTCTGTTTCAAGGCAGATTTGGAGTGGTAGGAGCAAATCTATTTACTGAAAGGATGCTCCATGTTATTTACCTGAGTTTGCTTTCTTTATTGTAACCTGCCACCTTCCTACCTTCTGTTCACCTTGACTCAGTCAGATTATTTAGGTATATACCTAATGTCACTGCTGTGTATGCAGACACTGTGGACTTCAGTGGGATTCTCTGTGGGTGCTAGAGTTCTGCATGCAAGAAAATGCAAGCTGAGCTGTTAGATCTGGGTGCAAGGTTGATGTCTTTGTACTCTCCATAAAACAAGCAGCAGCCTTTGGGTTCTCTGGTCCTTTTAATGATCATCACTTAAATGGTTGGATCTAATATTCCTTTCAGAGAAACCCTGTAGGTTCAGAAAACCCTAGCGATGTTTTCCGGTTCCTGGTGGAAGAGCGCACACAATGCTGCCAGTCCAGAAAGGTCCGCTACACCGAGAGGGTGGACTATATCATGCAGTTACCTGTTGCCATGGAGGCAGCAACAAACAAAGGTAAAGAAAGAAACTGGTCCATTGACTGACCTTCTGGTAACTCTCTCAACCATGAGGGAATGAAGTTCTCACCCACCTGTGTTCTCTTTGTATGGATAGAATGGTTCAAGGCCATGTGGCAAGTCAAACCAATGAACTGATCACAGGGGAAAGTTACTTGGTTTGGTTTTCTTTAAAAGAGATTTTAAACACACATCAGTTTGTGGCTTTACCATCCCTAATTATATTTTTAGGGAAGAAGGATTCTACCTGGATGGACTTGGCATGTTTTCAGGCAGATTTCTTCTCAGACTGTGGGTCCAGCATTAAGCATCACCACTCAGGAATATATCACCAAGAATGGCAGCAGTTTGGATGATAAAAATGTCAGAGATTGTGGTTTAAAACCTTAACCTGGATTTGACCCAGGGATGTGCCACACCACTTGTATTACAATTTATTTACCCGTGTTTTTTGTGCATATGTGTGTGCCCAAAGATCTACATTAGGATTGTATTTCCTTTGTCCTAGACAGTGAACGAGTATATAAAAACTTCTTAATCCTAAAAAGGGACTGAACATACTAGCTAATGGATATCTTGTAAAAGCAAACACACACAAATAAATAATAAAAAAGGCCCAACAAAAAAAACCAGATCAGCTTTGTGTTCATTAGCAGCAGATTGTAAGATCTAATGTGAAATTAGAGAACAGGAGTATAAGATAGTTTGTTTGATAATTTGGATATCCTGGGATTTAGGAGAGGAGGGAAGGAGGATGAAGTGGTGGACACTGATTTAATATACAGGAGTGGTTTTTTAATGCCTGTGAGCTGCCTGAGAAAGCATTCTTGTTCTCAAAGGAGAAATGACTGAGGAGGCTAGAAGACTTGAAAGCAGGAGGGAGGTACTGACAAATCTTGGTTGCCCCTGCAACCAGTAGAGAAGAGTTTTACAGACTAAGATGAGAAATGTATGCTTGAGATGGAAGTGAAGGAGACATTACAGGAATGCTAAAAGGGGGGATGTGCCTCTGGTTTAACTATTATCACGGGATTCTGGCTCTCCTGGTTTTAATTGCCTGTTGCCCAGTACTTCCAGGTCTGTGTTTTCTCCATGAACAGGAACCTTCCAAAAAGTGATGTGGTTTTAAGTGTATAGCTCCAGACCCCAATGCAGATAAAAGATTTCGGGTCTAGTTAGAGCCATGTAAAAGTTCTATTGATAAGTAGGTTTTTGCATTTCTAAAACTTGCAAAAATAAGACTGGTGGGGGACATCATAACCACGACAATATTCATTTAGCTTTTAGTGTCATGTGTATTTCTCAGATGAATTAATTGCCTATGAATTGAAGAGGCGAGAAGCAGAAACTGCAAGGAGACCTCCGCCAGAGCTTGTCCGTGCCAAGATCCCGTTTAGTGCTTGTCTGCAGGCCTTTTCTGAACCTAACAATGTAGAGGATTTCTGGAGCAGTGCCCTTCAAGCAAAATCTGCAGGAGTTAAGTAAGTGTGTGTCTAGCTGCCTGTTAAAAACCTGTATGGCAGTGTCATTGCTTGATATATCAATGGCTCATTGCTGTCTTAGCATTCAGTTTCACTGACATCGTACTGAAAATTGGGAGACAAGTGCACATGGTGGAGAAAAATGCAGCAGAAATCTAAAGATTTTTTGTATTAACTCTGAACATGTTAGAAGAACATTCTAGTTTTAAACAGATCCAGAGTTAATTTGTAATTTAGCTATTCTTCATCCCCATGGTCTTTAAAAGCATTGAAAGACAAAGAATAATTTACTATTTAAAATTCAGAAGTTTTGTGCTGCAGATGATAAAGTTACTGAAATTGTAGAGTGGTGCTAACGAGAATTTAGAAAGTAGTTATTCATAGTATGGTAGGAATTGCATTTATGATGCATTTACTGTATTTTACCCAGTGTTAGGTGAATTAGAAAAAAGGATGATATGTGTGAATGGAAGATAAAGGGAAGGATGCAGGAGATTATATGGAGGAAAAACGGGAGCATAGAGAAGGAGAATGGTGGTATATCTAATGTTACATTGTGTTCAAGATTAAACCTTTTCTTTTCACTTAGGGGGTAAATATCAGGGATCCCCTTAAACTGAAGAGTCATCTTCTATTTTGATAAATATTATAGTAGCTCGATAAGAATATAATGTAGGGTTTTTATAGCACTTTCGTGTAAAAAACCTACAAATGACAGGTTTTTTAATCTTTGCTTAATGAAATGCTTTATAGGTGGACTGATACCTCATGGACAATCCTACTGTTACTAGAAAGGGAGTGAAAAAAAAATGCTGATTGAATTTTTACTCCATTCTGTCTGAGCTGTGTTTTAAGCCCATGCCCTGAAGTTCTAGCCAATATGTCATTCAGAATTTATTTCCTGTCATTCAACTTCAGAACAACTTGAGTAAGCAAGTTTAATAGTACTTGTAGTTGTCTTCTATAATCTTCCATCAAGCTGAATTGTCTGCAAGGGTTTGGGCTGACATTCTGGATATAAATGCCTAGAAAGCTACTACCATACTTCTCCACTATACTTGAGAACTTTTTTGTGAAATTTATGTTTATAAAATCCATCACTTTTCATCTCACTCAGAGCTAAAGTTACTCATCTCAGTGGGCATGAAGTACTGAAATCTGTGTGGCTTGAGATTTTGTTGCCTTATTTCACCGAATTGTATTTCTTGTGCTTCCCAGGACTTCTCGTTTTGCTTCGTTTCCTGAGTACTTAGTGGTGCAGATAAAGAAATTCACCTTTGGCCTTGACTGGATACCCAAAAAGCTTGGTATGTGCTTTTTATATTTACCTTTTTCTCATTCTATCCGAGATAATCTGTAATGTATACATGCTTTGGTCTATAGAACTGAAGGCCTGGCTTGAGTCTCAAGTTTATACTGTGCAGATCCTAACTGAATCTTGTTTTCTTTTATGACAAATTAAAACAATTCATCAGGTCTATGGAGTTAAAGTACAGTTTCATGTAGTCTGACCCCCTAGTTAAATTGTCTTCAGTGTTCTGAATTTCTCAAATAACTGTTTTCAGGAGGAGAATCCTGGCTGTGTTTGTAGCTCGAGTCCCATCTCTAGGCTAAGTTGCACCATGAGGTCATTTTGCTGGATTTATAACCTTAGCCTGTTTCTCTGCTTTTGTAGATGTTTCTATAGACATGCCAGATTTCCTAGATATCAGCCACCTTCGGGCCAGGGGTCTCCAGCCAGGAGAAGAGGAACTTCCAGACATTGCTCCTCCCATTGTCATTCCTGATGACCCAAAAGGTATTTACTGACTTTTCTCCTGATTCTCTGCTGTATTCCCCTTTCTCTCTAGCACATACTGATTCTCCTTAATCTTCACCTTTTGGAGCTATGATCAAAAAAGTAGTTCTGTGCTTCTGTAACTGGAGATTGTTGCAACACTCCATAGCCTTTTTTGCTCCATACTAGACAACCCTAGTTCTTCCTGCTTTTCTACTTTGATGTTTTCAGGATTTATGATTGATACTGTTGCTCTGTACTCTCTCCAAATAATTCATATTTTTATGAAATTGATGTGCCCAAGGATAGACATTGTATTTTGTGAACACGTTATTTCATTTGCTTTACTGCCTGTAGTGTCCTACTTACCCTGCTGTGTGGTGGTTGCTTCTTTTGCAACAGTGTAGTGCTGCTCAGTGGAGCAGCTTCTGCTGCATTATGATCTCTTTGTCTTTACCAGCAGAATTGTTCCATGTCTTCCATTTGCATGGATGATCATCCTTACTTAAGGATGAAGTCCTTGTGCTCATCCTTATTGTCATCCTTATTGAATGTTGATTGGTATCTAGGACTTAAGTGGATAGAGAATTGTGTGAAGACATCTACATCTATGAAAAACAGCTACATGCAGAGACCATCCTCTGTCCATTCATTGACCTTCAGTGCATGTTCATGATTCCCTTTCAGTAAAGTCACTGTGCCCTTCTGTCCTGGTGCAAAGAATTTGGTCTCAGACCCCTACACTGAGTCTCATGATAGGTGTCAAAAGTGGAGTGGACCATTAATCCACTCATTTCTTACATTTGCATAAGAGGTGTTACTAAACTGCTGTTATCTTTTGAGCACTTTTGTACTAAATTTTGTCTAAAACATCATCATAAAGTAGTCTGGGTGGTACTGTAGCTAAATCAATCTCTTGGTTCTTGTGTACAGTATATGGTCCATCATGGTCAGAAGGAATTTTAAAATCTGTCAGTTACTGTGGTTATTTGCTGTAGGATTTTAGTGTTGCAATTCTGAACAGATAGGCTTCTGTTCAGTGGCAGAGTTTACTTGGATAACTTGAAACACTTTGGTTCAAGGTGGAACAACAAACACTTCATGTCTGCAGAATTGATTCATACCCAGTACAACAAAACTTAATACACAAATGACTACAATTTAAGAAAGCAGCTTTCCAGATATTACTAATTTTTAAATTACAAGAACTGTTAGGTTGCAGTAGGCCCTAGCAGCTCTGCATGTATGCATAGTGCACTTCTCTGGATGTACATGGGCTGTACAGCCCACTGAAAAAGGCTCTGTCTCAAGGAGTTGATGTCGAACTACAGACTAAAATATCTGTAGAGCAGAAGGAAAGAGTAATGATTAACATGCTATGCTGCTTTTTTCTTAAATACTGTTTCTTTTGAGCTAAAGTTCAGAAACAAGAATATGAGAATTTCCTTATTCCCTGGGTTTCTCTGGAGAATGAAATGGTTTATAGCAAGTAAAATCATGTTTTTATAGTGTGACTTTAGACCCAGGTTATTGCCATTTCCTCCAGGTGACTGAAGTTTGGATGACTCGGTGTTTAGTAGGAAACCAGTAATGCAGCTACTCTGATGACATGATTGCCCCATTTTCTTGGATATTTATAACAGTGGTGGTATAATATCAAACTCTATGCATGTGAAAGGAAGTTGGTACCTGAAATTGTGTGTCAGAGCAAAGGCTGTGGCAAAATTCAGTTCTCTAAAGGTTTTCATTTTGTCCCTTATCTGTAGGTTCCTTACTAAGGCCTATTCTTTTTTTTAATCCTCTTTCTCAACACACTGACCTGGTTATAGTGTAAGTGCACAGGCAATGGTACCTTATCTATAACTAAATAGATTCTTGCTTAAGTTGGTTTAGGTCAGCCATCAGCTGTATTTCCTGCTGGTTTATAGTACCAGTGACACTTTGCTCCGAGTTAAGGAAATTACTGGGCAGAAACATCCCTGGTCTAATTCATGACAAAAGCATCAGGGATGTAAGGATGAACATGCCCTGCCTGTATGAGTTTAAATGTTTCTATGACTTTAAAAACATGGAATTGTTTTTCCCATATGAATCTCCTTAATCTTCATATAAATCCTTTTCCCTGTTTTTTCCATTCTCAATTTTCAGATCGTATGACAAACCATTTTGTGGAGTGTACGTATCTCATTGTTCTGAGACTGGCATTTCAGCTGCTTAAAAAATTGTCATGCTTTTGTTCAGCTAATGGCTTCTCTGTCCTCATAGAGATGCATGGAGTATTGCCCTGCATGTGTCTAAGCAAGAGCAGATTTTTGTACTTGTTCAGCAATTGATTGCATGTGTGCAGGACTCTTAAAGATGCTGTAGTAGCATCAGTGTAGCCAGAATATGAGTTGCTCCCCTATCTGCTGCTCATCAGCATGATCTTGCAGTTCTGAGTGTCACAGCTGCTTGATCCTGGCTCCCTCTGGACTCTGATCTCAGCTGAAGCTGTTGTCATTCAGAGATGAACTTCATTCTCTGTCATTCAGAGATGAAGTTCAGCTGGAGACTGCTAGATCCAGCAGCTGTTGTTTCTCTCGCCTGTAAGATCCTGCCTTTAAGAGAGGTGACTGCTTTTGACTGCTATCTCTAGCTAAGCTCAGCACCTAACTTCACCCCTTGAAATGCACTGGTGTGATTTTTTTAAATATATAAAGTCCTGTAGCAATTCATCAAGGTTTAAGGATCTATGTAGATTACAGAGAGAAAAGATTGCCAGTAAGTCCATAACAAATACTCTAATGCTTTGTGCAAGGCCGTTTTCTAATGGTGTGGGTTTATTGCAATACTAAAACAAGAGATATTTACTGTAATATGTGGCATCATGAACAACAATAAGAAATACTATGCAATGGATGAAATTAGACTTATATTTTAGAAGATTCTTTCTTGTAGCTCTAGATATTGATGAGTCTTCAGTTATGCAACTGGCAGAGATGGGTTTTCCTTTGGAAGCATGTCGGAAAGCTGTGTACTATACAGGCAACCTGGGTGCTGAAGTTGCTTTTAACTGGATCATTGCACACATGGAAGAACCAGGTCAGTAATTGGAGGGTGTAGGTTAAATTCAGCTCCTGGTTATGTATTTTGGTGGTCATTAGAAATTTTATAATGTGTGACAGAAACAATGGCCCCCTTCCCCACCCCAGGAAACCTGGAGGTGTGAGTGAATTTTCCTAAGGTGCTTCTGGGATATACAGATCTTGACCATTATGTGGCATCCTCTGCCTAGAAGAAGACAACAAACCTAAGCTACACCAGAAGTACAGTCTTCTGTCCTCCCTGATGGTGTGGGCCAGCTCTGTTTTCCACCCTTTGGCTAGGTCTGCGCTGCTAAGGGGGAAGCTGACTTGTGATCAAGTGTAAGTACACAGAATCCTGTGGTCCAGATGCTTTTCTTCCATATCAGCCTTCTCTGGCTCAGGCTAGAGTATTCATGCCATACTTAGAACTTGGGCTATCTACTGATGTACAGGGCTGCTAGATGTTCTCCCCTTCCTGTGTTTCATCCACGCAAAGTCTGGACCCCTGATTCAGCACTGAGTGTACCTGAGCACTCTCTTGCCAGGGAACTCCAGCTTTGGTTGAGTTCACACTTCATTGTGGGTTTCTGTGTTGGTTGTGTAAATGGGGAATGAGTTTCACTTGGGCTTAACTGACACATTTCAGCTATGGAATCAGTTCATTTTACGTCTATATGTGTATCAGCTGGGTTGTGTACTATTCTGGTGTCATCTTTGCTTCTATACCAATCATCTTTGCTACTTTCCTGTAGTTGTTTCACTTCTGTGATGTGCCAAGTTGTTCCAGCCTGCTCAGTATGAGTTTGTCCACCTAGATATTTTGTAGTGTGTGTGTTTATCTTAAGGCTTTCCACACGTCTGAATCCCAGCTGGGCCAGTGAAATGAACTTATGTTGATTTCAGAATGGCTTTTGAGGTTGTTTGTTGGGTGTTTTTGTGTTTGTTGTTGGCTTTCCAGTTCAGTGGGGCAAAAGAAGAAACTGATGAATGTTTGTTTGTTCCAGACTTTGCTGAGCCATTGGTTGTACCTGCATTTGGAGAAGTTGCTTCCAGTGGAGCAGCTGCATTTGGAGCTGTTGGGTTAGATAACCAACCTCCAGAAGAGATGGTTGCAATTATCATTTCTATGGGCTTCCAAAGGAACCTAGCAATTCAAGCACTGAAGGCAACAGTGAGTTCCATGAGTTATTGGTAGCACTAGAGTTTCATTTCATATCATGTGCTTTGTCCTTGGATGCCTTTAAAACATGCATATAAAAATCCAGTTAGTGGATGATGCACATAGAACTATTCTGGCAAAGCGTGGGATGCCTGACTTGTCTGGATTAGAGTGGGGAAGGGAGTTTGTGTGTTTCACTTGAATGTTAAAATGTGGAGGAAAGTGAGGAAAACTTAGTTTCTTTTACCATCTGTTGAGAAACAACCTGGATGCCTAAAGGCTGAGAATCTGGGGGCCATGGGGATTAATTGTGGGAGGATTTCTTTTTCCATCTGTCAAGCTTCTGCAGAGTGCTTGTTGAATACTATTTTCCATGGAGGTAGAGTGTGTATCTTACAAGTTTTAAGTGCTGTTGAACATGGTTCTTACTCTGTTCAAAGACAGATGAGCAGTAGCATGATGCTAGAGAATGAATTAAAGGCTGCTCTTTTGCTTGTTTGACTCACAGAACAATAATTTGGAGCGTGCGTTGGAATGGATCTTCAGCCACCCTGAACTCGAGGAAGAAAGTGAGCCTGCTTTGGACATGATGAATATGGAGAACAATGCTAATGCCAATATCCTTGCAGAGACAGGGTCAGAGGGACCCAGGATAAAAGATGGGTCTGGAAGTAAGTTCTCCTTCAGCTTAGAACTGTTTATCATGTTGCATCATACCTACACCATTCGTAGAGCTCCCCTCTTTTTTGAAAGTACTTACCATGGTTTTTTTGGACGTGATCCAGGCAGTTTAGTTCCAATCTTACTTCTGAGGCTGAGTCCAGCTCTGTGGGCTGCTAAGTTCAGTGGTCTGTGTTTGCTCAGAAAACTTTTTCCCTGGACTTGCCGAATAACTTGAGTCGAAGTTTCTTGTTGCTGCATCATGTGTCTCTTCTGGCCTAGCTTTGCTTTTTGTTTGGTTGCTGTAAGATTAAAAAGACAAAAGCTAGAATGTTTAAATCTTCAGAGGCTGAGCATCCTGAAGATAACACTGATGTTACAGACCACCTGAGTTTCTGTCTGATGGGAGGTTTGATAATCCCTTCAACCAAGTACCTTATTCTAAATGTGTCAGGTATAGTTGGTATCCTGTGTGTACTGCTTTGCTGTTTTCTTTCCTTGTTTTTCTTTGGGATCCTCACTCATAATACTGTGAAATAAACCACAAGATGGGGCTAATGTACAGCAAAGTTGTGAAGTAGGCAGAGAACTTACTGTAAGTGTAAAAGCACTAGAGTGCCAAAGCTCAGCGGTGGTTCTAACATATGGATCTCCTGACGTTTTTTGAAGGGTCTTCAGTGACCAGTTCTAATAACTATAGTATCTTCTAAACTTGTACCTCTGATCTTGACTATAAAGGTCATATTTAAAAAAAATAAATTAACAGCCAACTCGATTGTTGTTTCTGTGATTGCCGTTATTATATAAGAACATTCATTTGTGTTTCTAACATTATAAAGACCAATCTTAAGTCTCCTGGAGACATGGGAAACATTGATTAATGTTAGGTTAAAAAAATATATATATTTGGAATAATTATTTTTTGTGGTACTTAGCCTTTATAGACTGAGACCATTTACTGAGTGCCTGAAATCCTGATAACCAACATGATACTGTAAAATGGCTCCAGAAAGCCCTCTCCACCAAAATCCAGGCCCCTGTCCTAATGCAATATCCTGAAAGAAGGTACCCTTTTACTTTTGGTGGTAATTTGGGTGAATGGCATGAATGGGTGGGGAGCAAGAACCAATGCTGAGTTCTCCAGAGACATTAAGCACAAAAATTGTCTTTGCATTAAAGGAAGAAGTTTCTTTCCTGTCCTCTTTTATGGGCTGCTGAAATATATACTTCTGGATTTTGACTGATTATAGGGGATCTGTGATCACACTTACAGACATAGCAAATTTGTGTGCAGGATGAACTCCATATCTGGCACTTTCTGTGGTACTCTCTGCAAACTGGGAATGAATCTGCTGTTTTCTCTTTCCTAGTAGGGGTTGTGATCACAGTCCTGCTATATGTGCACAGATCTATGTGGGTTTGATTTGGATTGGTTTGATGTTTGACAGTGAATGTGACCGCTAGTTAAAGCAAGAATATGCTGCAATCTTAACAGAAACTGTGTTTGGGAATGCAGAGTCTGAGTTAGGAGTGCTTAGCTGCTTCTCCAGTATTAGAAAGTAAGTTTCCCCTGGAGTCATATTGCAAAGGTAGCAATAAAAGGCTTATGGTCCCATTTGTATTTCTTAAACAGGATACGAGCTGTTTGGGTTCATCAGCCACATGGGAACATCCACAATGAGTGGCCACTATGTTTGTCATCTCAAAAAAGAAGGAAGGTGAGTGGAATCGTGCAAGGATGAGCAAATGTTTTCCTTGAAGTGTGCATCTGTACAGAGCAGGGTGTGTATTCAAGGCAGACAAAACACACATGTTGTTCCTATGTATACATTTCCCACCAAAGAAATGAAGATTATTACAGACTGTAGATGTGATGAGTCAGTTCTGATTCCACTGAGGTCTATGGTGAAGCGTATCACTGGCTCTCCTGTGCTTGCTGTTCCAAATCCCTGTTCACTTGGGGCCATCAGTAGTGTAACTTTGTTTATCTGAGGTTCCCCCAACTTCCTTTCATTCCCCATCAATAGAAACCCATCAGACTATGGGCTACTACTGCAGTGCTGATCTTGGCTGTGATTTTGATATGTTCTCATTATTTGGCCTTGGGAATCCTTGATTTTCCTTCATTTGAACTGTAACTACGCATCCCTCCGCACATTCCTCTTCCTTTTTGGTTCCTGACCCTGCCAGTAAACCTGCCTCAGCTGTTTCCTCTGATCTTTTGTTCTTGTTGCAATGCTTACTTTTAGATTTTTAAACTCGTTGAAGTTTGGGTCTGAAAAGCCTCTGATAAACTTGTGATGATTTTTATACACATGGAATGTAATCAATCTTGTTTTCATTTCAGATGGGTGATCTACAATGACCTTAGAGTCTGTGCCTCAGAACGACCTCCCAAAGACCTGGGCTACATTTATTTTTACCACAGGATACCAAGTTAGGCTTCAAATCTGTTACCTGACCTTAAGAAGCCGAAAGCCTTTTTAACCTGCCCCAAAAATTGTACAATAAAAAAGAAATCTGAAACCAACAAAAGACCCCTAACCCCTGGACTGCCAAAAAGCAAAGGAAAACATGGGATATTTATAGTTTACTTAAAACAAGTCATTTGATGCCGCCTTAAGTATTAGAGGGAAAATTTCTATTCGGTGACGTATAGCGCATTGTTTTAAATTTATACACCTTATGGGATACCTTAAGACCACTCCAAACTGATGGAGTTTGCAGCTAGAATATGAAGAAAATGGAAGTTTCAACAAAAGTAGCCCAGTTCAGCCCAGCTCCTGCCTGTTCTGTCCATGCATCTGTTGAAGACAACAAAGAAATATTTGCATCTTTGGTAACTGGGAGCCAATGTTTTCAACTGGAGTTCAGACCACTTAGAGAAATCATATCCCATCCAAAGCTGGAGGGAGGGGGTGTGTGAGTGTTCTTCGAAGCAGAATATCTTGTTTGAGAGATTATTTTCAGTACAGTGAGAAAAGTCAACTGAAGTTATATCTGTTGGAATTCAGTTTTATAGTATTTTGATTTGCCTTTTTGATGCATAAACCTAAGAAACTAATGGAGGTGGAAGCAATCTCCTGTCAGTGCCCTGTACATTTTCTGCCAAAGAGAAATAGTAGATTTTATTTTTGCAGACATAGGTTTCTTCATCTTCTCTTGAATGCTTGTTTTGCAAGTTCTTCTAACAGATTGAGGATTACAGATGGCTAAATGAAGCAGACTCTCTGACCGTAAAATCAAATACATACCTTCAGGAAAGACAAAGCTATTGTTTAATTTTTTTCTTATGAAGTAGGTAAAGAAGAGGTTAATGTCTTGTTATATTTATTTCAGGAAAATTTGCATCTAGACCACTCACATTCTAGCTGAAGTCGACTCCCTGACAGAGTATTCACAGTGCAATTCTGCTTTCTCCCAAAGATTGCTTAAATACTTAGTTCCATCCATGAGTGAGGGAAGTTGCTTAGTAAAGTTGCTGATTGATTGATTTGCCCCTCACTTCTCCCTCCCTTAAAAAAACAAACAAACAAAAAAACCCAACAACAACAAAAACCCAACCAAAGAAAAGCCTTGAAATCATGTTTCAGCTTTCTTAAAACCTGCAAACACACCAATAATCTGGTCTTTTCAACAGACATCTTCTAAAAGGGGCTTTATATCTCTAGCAGGGATGAAGGGGTGAATAGGTAGGGGCTGGCCTTTCCTGTCTTTTTGGGGAATGGGGGGAGATGTGTCAGTTTGTGTCACAGGCAAGAATATGTGTGTGATTTTTTAAATTGTATTTGAAAACACTAATTCTAGAAAAAATACGATGGTGAATTTGAAACCTTTCATGATTCGAAAAACCCCCCGAAGTTTCAAAGTATTGGCCACTGCTTAGAGGCTGTTTCTGGAGTTGCCTCATATAATCTTACTGAGCCCTCAAAATAAATTGTAACAGTCAAAAAAATTTTTTTAAAAAATCCTCCTTACAGAGTGCAAGAGAGGCAAGGAGGTGTAATTATTTTTTCTCTGCAGCCAATGCCTGCAAGTTTAATAGCAAATTTCAGGCAGCTACACACTACAGAAGAGAACTCAAATTAAAAATCTGGTTATGAGTCGGGCATTTTATTTTTTCCAGCAGTTGGGGAAAAAAATTCTCTCTCTAGTCATATAATGTCATGCAGAGCCAAAAAACACTGTTGATTTTTTTTTTTAATCAGTTTTTGATCTTAAAAGATTATGAGACAAATTCTAGTGCAATAATTCTATAGAGTGTAAATGGGAAAGCTTTCTGCACTTAGTGCTCTTTCTGACACAAAATGACGGCGTCCTGGCGTTCTCACATTAGTGAGACTGAGCTGCCTTGTAATTATCGAGCCACCAGTTCTGGACAAAATAAAAGCTGCCAGTAATTTTTTCTTTCTTCCAGGTTTTGAATATTTATGTATTTCACCAGAAAATGGAAGATTTGAAAATGAGATCAGCAAATTGTCTAATGACAAGACAAGGGGAAATGGGTTTAAACTGAAAGAGGCGAGGTTTAGATTAGATATTAGGAAGAAGTTCTTCACTGTGAGGGTGGTGAGACACTGGAACAGGTTGCCCAAGGAAGTTGTGGATGCCCCCTCCCTGGAAGTGTTTAAGGCCAGGTTGGATGAGGCTTGGAGCAACCTGATCTAGTGGAAGGTGTCCCTGCTGATGGCAGGGGGGTTGGAACTGGATGATCTTTAAGGTCCCTTCCAATCCAAACCATTCTATGATTCTATGAAATTACTCAGTAATGCATCTTTTATTTAAAGTGAAAGAACAAAAGTTCCATATTTCTATTTTGTGCTTTTTCATTCTGGCAGTAGAGAAAGGACTACTTTTTATTTTTTTCTTTTTACCTTTTTTTTAATACCCAGTTATATTTCAAGGAAGTTTAACACAACAGCTTCCCTTTTGCCTCATGAATTTAAAGGGGTATTTATAAACTAACAAGATCTGGTTGCCACTACCTTTTTATTTAGAAACCTCAAGTAAATAAAGGGCAACAGAGTTGTTCCCATGTTTGTTATTAAACTGGAAACACGGCTGGTCTCGTGGGATTAAGGATGGAGCTTGGACTCTTGCAGACTGGAATGGCTGTGGGGCTGATTGCTCTCAGTTAATAGGAGGCACACTTAGAAAGTTGGCAGGTGTTTAACTGGAAATGGTGAATGAAAGGGGAGAGCTGTTTGCAGGCTGGGATAGGTGAACTGTAGCTGCTCAGCTTCTGAAATTCTTTTCAGTTCATCCCTCTTGTACTGCCTGCCTAAACCACCAAGTGAGTCAGAAGTGCAGGGAGCAGTTTAGGGGAAAGGCTTATGGATCTTCTAAAATTTAGCACTTGAAAAGACATTAAAGTTCTTCAGCTGTTTAAGGAATTATTTTATTATCTCACAAAGTAGTGGCTTCCCTCCTTTTTCAAATGACCAGTTAAGTCATCTCACTTTTGCAGTGGGATATGTGTGAAGAACATCATGGATCTGGAGGAGCAGGAGGTAAACTCCTGACTCTTCAGTGTAATGTGAGGGAGAAGAGTTTTGCTTGTTTGTTTTTTGGTTTTATTTTAAACTTGAGCATGCAGAAGCCACACTCAAGCAGACTGCACTGAATAGATGACTAATTTCTCAGGCTTTGCCTGCTAAAATTTGTGTGCACTTAATTGTGCCGGGCCAGGCCTCAGTGCACAACCTGGGCAGCGGCTGATGGGGAAACTCCACGTGTCTGGGTACTGCAATAGCTGCTGGGGGGTTAGGTGTGCCCAGAGCTTCTTGAAGAAAAAAGGATGGAGGAAGAAAAATCACTGTAAGCTGTTTGAGACAATCTAACCTGAGAATTATGGCAAGCCAGGACTTGGCAGCAAATAATGCTCTTATTTCCTGGATTCATTTTTTGAATGATACATTTAGGTTAGGAGAGTGGAAGGAGGAGAAACTCAACAACTTTTTCCTTGTTTTCCTTTTCCCCTCTCATTCCTACCAGCATGCAGGATCCAATAGACCCCTCTTTCTGAGTCACAATCTCCAGTCTCCCAAACACATGTAGACACAAACTCCTATTTAATCTTCCTAGCTAAAATATAATTAGGATAAAAATTTAATTTATTCAAAGCTATGGTTTAAAAACAAGTCTAGGTGTTTCTGGATTACCATCACTTGTAATTCTAGTGGGTTCAGTGGCATTACTTCTGACTTTGGTGTAGCTGAAACCAGCATCAGTCCAGTTTCTTTGATTCAGGCAGCCTCCACTGGGTCATAGCACACGTTCTGAATATGGATGCAACCAGAGCTCCTTAGCTTGTTTTAGAAGCATCTCAAATTCATTCCTTTTGTTCTCCATCCTGGCAGCACCCATTTTTATCTTCTTTGCTGTTCTCATGCATTGAAAGACTATGCAAAATATGTAACTGGACATAACTTTTTATTCTTTTGCCATCACCCTTCCTACCTGAATGGCTGAGATCAGTTTCTGATTTCTATTCACTCTTCAGTGGTTTTACTGTTGTATCCTGGAAGTGTCTGTACTGGGTTACTTTGCACCACTCAGAGTTGTTTGCTTGAAGCACTGTTAACTTTTTGGAGCGTACTTGTCTGAGATGAGAAAGGTTGTGAATGACATCGTTGCAACTGTTTTAAATTAAAAAGAAATATTCTCACATCTCGTGGCTGTGTGAATTCTTGCTTCTTTCTTTCCTGTCTGAACCGAAGAGGAATAGACTGAGCATATTTCGATGCTACCTCTTTTCTTATTCCTTGTGATTGTGTTTGGTGCTTTACTTAAATCCTGCGCAGGGAACAGAGGGGTTTGGGGCAGTCTTGATTTCCTGCGAGGAAATAGCACTTCAATGGATTGGAAAATAAAAATTAAAAAAAATCCCCAGGCCCTGAGTGGATATAAAACATGGCAAAAATAGGAAATAGGTTAAGGTTGATATTTTGTTGTTTTTAACTTTTAAGCCAGTTGACATTCTTTGAACACAACAGTTGGCAGTGTTGTTGTGGAAGAGTGTTGCCATTTCACCCCCAGATTCCTACTTTATCTTGGTCTGTAATTCCTCATATTCTTTTGGAAATTTGACCTGCTGTTCACTATAGGAGATGTCTTTTTTTTCTCTCGTGTGTAAGGGCTTTACATAGCAGTGTCACCATTGGAACTCTTCAGTAGATGCAAGAACAGGCCAAAAAAGAAGACCAAGGGATAGCAACTCTTTCATCTTTTTATATGATCATGGGACTGGGAACTGGAGGAGAGGTGAGAGGTAAACCTACCAGACTTGTAAGTGACATTTCCTGACATGGAAGTAGAGTCCATGTGAAGTGTTGAATGATACAAAAGGTAAAGATGGTTCAGCTCCTGAAGTCCAAATTTGATGATCTGTTTTGGTTTCTTTTCTATCACAGATGTCCTTTGTGTCCATGGGAAGTCACACTGCACTGTATTCACACCACTTCTAGGAACTGGAAGAGGTGGGAGAACGTGGCTCCTTG